CAAAAACATTTAAAATTGTATGTCTTGAAAACAGTTTGACTTAAAATTTCAGATTTGTATCGAAACAGTGCAGTGAATTGTTAGTTTATCAGAACATGGCTAAGAATGAACATTACTATTTCAGAGAATCACACTGCATGAGATTTTCAGAAGCATAATGATTAGAGATGCACTTTAAAGTACTTATTTCTAAAAAGGAATGTTAACTTAGTTCATTGGCATTTTTACAAACATTAAAATGAATAATGATGTTGTCTCTATTTGGAGATGGCATGATCTTTATATGTAGCAAACTACAACGATTCCACCAAGAAGGAAACAAACAATGAATCCAGTAAAGTTACAGGATGGAAAATCAACAGGCAGCAGACAAAAATCAGTAACATTTTTTATATACAAATAAGCACTCAGCTGAAAAAGAAATAAAGAACACTCCCATTTACAATTGCATAAAAAATTCTTAGGGATAAATTTAACCAAGGAGGTGAAAGATTTGTACATTGAAAATTATAAAACATTGATGAAAAAAATTGAAGATACAAATATATAGAAAAATATTCCCTGTTACTGGATCAGAAGTATTAATATTGTTCAAATATTAATACTACCTAAAGAAATATAGAAATTTAATGCAATAACTATCAACATCCCAATGGCATCTTCGCAGAAATAGAAAAATACAATTCTAAATTTTTTGTGAAACTGCAAAAAAACCCAAATAGCCAAAGCAGTACTGAGAGGAAAAAGGTTAAAGGCATTACACTTTCTGATTTAAAACTATATTACAAAGCTATCATAATCAAAATAGTATGCTGCTGGCATAACAACAGAAACGTACATCAATAGAACAGAATAGAGAGCCCAGAAGTAAATTTAAACATACATGGTCAATAATTTTACAAAAGGGTGCTAAGAGGACACAAGGTGGAAAGGTAATCTCTTTGATACATGGTGCTGAGAAAGCAGGATTTCTACATGCAAAAGAATGAAATCATATATTTATCTTACACCACACACAAAAATCAACTCAAAATAGATAAAAGACCTAAATATAACACCTGAAACCATCAAGAGAACTTAAGGGAAAAGCTCTCAAACATTGGCCTTGGCAATGATTTTTTGGATAACACACCAAAATCTCAGGCCAAAAGAGAAAAAATAAATAAATGGGACTACATCAAACTAAATAGCTTCTGCACAGGACAGAAAGCAATCAACAAAGTGAAAAGGCAACCGACAGACTGGGAAAAAAATATTTGTAAAGCATATATCTGGTAAGGAATTAATATCTATACATAACACTTATAGCACAATATGGGGAAGATAACCTGATTAAAAAGTGGGCAAAGGACATGAACAGACATTTCTCCAAAGAAGACATAAAAGTGGCCAACAGATATGTATGGAAAAGTGTTTAACATCACTAATCATCAGGAAGTGCAAATTAAAATTACTGTAAGATATCACTTCATTCCTATTAGGATGGCTATTATCAAAAAGACAAGATATAACAGATGTCGACAAGGGTGTGGAGAAAAGGGAACCCTAGAACACTGCTGTTAGAAAGGTAGATTAGCACAGCCATTATGCAGAACAGTATAACCATTCGTAGGAAGATTGAAAAATAGAACTACTGTATGATCCAGATGAGATAAAATCACCACCATATGAAGATATCTGCAGTCTCACGTTCATTGCATTAATCACAATAGCCAAGATACAGAAACAACATAAGCATCCGTACATGAATGAATGGATAAAGAATACATGGAATGTATGTACAGACACTGGAATATCATTCAGCCTTTAAAAAGGAAGGAGATCCTCCCATTTGTCATAACATAGATGGACCCGAAGGACATTATGCTAAGTAATATAAGCCAGACATAGTAAAATACTGCATGATCTCAATTACATGTAGAATCTTAATTTTTAAAAAAGGTCAAATATTCAGAGATAGAGAATAAAACTGTGGTTTACTCTGGGCAGAATTAGGGGCAGGGGCGGGAAATGGGGAGATGCAGGTCGAAGGATACAAAGTAGCAGATAAATAGGATGAATAAGTCCAGGGATCAAATGTACATGAGGACTACATTTACCAAATATCGTATTAGAGATTTTTGTTAAAAAAGGAGATTTCAGCTGTTCTTGTCACAAAAATACTATATGAAATGTTAGATACGTTTATCTGTCTCACTGTAGTAAGCATTTGACTATCTATACATATCGCATAACATTATGTTATAAGCCTCAAGTATGCAACATACAAATTATTTTTAAAATAAGTAAATTAAACAAAATTCTACTTTTATCACAGAAAAATAAAATTAACCCTGTAGGTACAAATATGGCCTATGTATGACTACATATCCTAAATCTGTTAATATTACACTTAAATTTTCATACGGGACCTGTGAACACAGAACACAGCACTATTACTAAATTATGCATTAAGTAATTACAGACATATTTAAGAACATAAAATTAAGATTTTCTGGGTTTCTTTTTGTTTTTTTTTTGTTTGTTTGTTTTTTCACCATACTGTTTCAGCTCCGGAGCTATGGAATCAAGCTATTTTTGTATGCAGCCTGATATTTCCATTTTCTACCCGTCTAGTTTTGGCAAGTTTATTTGTGTCTAATGAAAGTGAAGGTAATAATAGTACCAATTAATACTTTGTAGACTTGTGGTTAATAAATATCAATTTTACTGTTATTATTATAGTTATTACTGCAGTTGTGGTGGTAACAGACATAACTCTTCTATATGATAATTTACAGAGTAATTTACTCATTAGTTATAGACATTGCAAAACAAAATATGGATGTTAGGTGTTATCATAATTATGATACTTTTCTTTTTTTTGAGACGGAGTTTCGCTCTTGTTACCCAGGCTGGAGTGCAATGGCTCAATCTCGGCTCACCTCAACCTCCGCCTCCTGGGTTCAGGCAATTCTCCTGCCTCAGCCTCCTGAGTAGCTGGGATTACAGGCACGCGCCACCGTGCCCAGTTAATTTTTGTATTTTTAGTAGAGACGGGGTTTCACCGTGTTGACCAGGATGCTCTCGATCTCCTGACCTCATGATCCACCCGCCTCGGCCTCCCAAAGTGCTGGGATTACAGGCGTGAGCCACCGCACCCGGCCTAATTATGATACTTTTCTCATTACAAGAATAATATGTATTCACTTTTTCTATAACATACTTTTTCAACCCACTGAACAATATTTTCCAGACAATATTTTATGAATCTAACCATATCTTTTAAACAAAGATACACAACTTTCTAATACAGTTATAATGAATTTTGAAAACAAATTTCTCTACTTACATGCATCTTGGGGTTACATTCTTTGGATGTTGTTGCCAGAGCACTGCTATACCCTTTGTGTTCTTGTTTTTGTATGTTTAATATTTGTACAAGTATTTCTTTTGGCCAGATGTGCATGTTGTTTGCTGGATCGTCAGATATGTACATTTAAAATACAAACTGATGGCTGGGCGTGGTGGCCCATGCCTGTAATCCCAGCACTTTGGGAGGCCGAGGCGGGTGGATCACGAGGTCAGGAGATCGAGACCATCCTGGTCAACATGGTGAAACCCCGTCTCTACTAAAGATACAAAAAATTAGCTGGGCATGGTGGCGTGTGCCTGTAATCCCAGCTACTCAGGAGGCGGAGGCAGGAGAATTGCCTGAACCCAGGAGGCGGAGGTTGCGGTGAGCCGAGATCGTGCCATTGCACTCCAGCCTGGGTAACAAGAGCAAAACTCCGTCTCAAAAAAAAACAAAAAACAAAAAACAAATTGATATACATTTAAACTATCAAAATTCCTTGTCAAAAATTTTGGCTTGTTTTTCCCCACTACTCATTTACCCAAACCATTACTAACACTTGGTGTTATGAATCTTTTATTGTTTTGCCAATTTCATAAATAAAAATTGTTTTTATTATATTGATTTGCAATTTAACGATAAGGGACATTAGTGGCTTTAATTTAGTGGTTATTTACATTTTGTTTGAATTGTCTATTCACTTCCTTTTTCAGTTCTGTCCTCTGTTGATTTTTTGGAAGCTCCTCATTGGGATATGTTTCATCTTCTCTGTGTGACTGTTTTTTTCTTTGCTTATGGTATATCTTCTTCTGCAGAAGTTTATATCTTGATTTAGTCAGATCCATTGAGAATATCCTTGGCAGTTTATGAATTCATATTCTTTTTAAAGATTTTAATTTCAAGACGAAAAATAGTCCCTCATTTTTTTTTTAATCTTACAACTTTATACTTAAGGTTTTTTATCCCTTTGGAGTTTATTTCATTTATTTTTATGTATTTTCCTGGCCTCTATACTCTGTGCTGTGAGGACAGAGGAATGACTCTGCTCTGATAGGCAGTTTGGCAGACGATGCCGATGTGCCACAGAATCCCAGAACTGAAGTTTTTATTCTTACGAACAACAGGAACAGAGACATTGTGAACTGGCACACAAACAGAGGGTTTTTTCGTGTGTCTATCTCTAATAACATTTCTTGAATATCTACCATTAGGAAAACTATTCATTGAATAAACACCAGGGTCAAGTATCACATTAAAATATTACTAAAAATACAATTTTATAGCATATTAAAGTTACTTTTGGAATGAAATTCCTAGAGAACATATACGTAAAATGTTAAGCTCTTCATAAGGAGTGATACAACATTTTCTTCCCCAGCTCTCTGAAAGTTTTTACCTTTTAAAAACTAGCGTTCATCTTTTTAATCTCTTCAAAATGCTTGACCCCTCCCCAAGTTCTAGCATTAAAAAATGTGCCACAAATGCAGAAAAGGATGACAGGTAGGGCACATTTTAGCAGAATTTGAAATAGGAGGTTTAAATTTTACTGCACTGAAATCCTAAAGAACCAGCCGAATTCATTTCTTCGTGAAAAAGTCCAACTTAATGCTTTGTGCCTCAGATTCAGGCCTGTTCTTACCTGATCTCTTCTTGGTTTGTGTCTCAGTCTTCAGGAACCAGTATTACCGTGGACATAGCCGTAATGGGCGAGGCCCACGGCCTCATTACCGACCTCCTGGCAGACCCTTCTCTTCCACCAAATGTGTGCACATCCTTGAGAGCCGTGAGCAACTTGCTCAGCACACAGCTCACCTTCCAGGCCATTCACAAGCCCAGAGTGAATCCCGTCACTTCCCTCAGTGAAAACGTTACCTGTTCTGACTCTGAGGAGAGCTCTGAAAAAGACAAGCTTGCTATTCCAAAGGTAGGTAATAATGACATACTTCTTAAAGGGTTAAACTGTTTTTAAAACAAATTGTCTTCTAGGTCTCCTTCCTGTCACCCCAACTCCGTCTGCAAATTCGTATCAGTGACTCAGGCAAGCCGTGTTGATCACGGTGACAAAGTGACAAATATTTAAACCTGAAGACTTCCGTCCTTATATTTGATAGTTTTCTGTACATAAAAAAATTTATCTTTTTATGTTAGTTCTTTGATTTAATCTTTCATGTTACTTGCAAAAAATCTTCTATATGCCAGGCTCTTTTCTAAGATGGTAAGGATATTGCCACAACAAAAAAAACGAAAAGGCAGAAATCCTGGCTCCTTTCTAGTGCAGATTCTGTTTAAAACCCTTGACTCCTAAAACTGAAGCATCCTTTACTCTTTTCTTGAGTGATATACTTCAAAATACCCTCTTGACTTTCCAGTACACAACCACGTTTGAACCCAGAACAGTTTTAGTCAATTACAGATTAAAGTAAAAGATGTCCTTAGTGATTTCTATAAATTCGTAATTTATATGTAAAAAGGAAATTACACAAATGTGTCTTTATATATATGGCATGAGTATTACAAAAGCAAGTACTAAGAGGATCCTCACCCATTTCAGGTCTGAATATAGATTAAAAATAAGGCATATTAAAGGCTAAAAAATCAGAGTGTCGGACTCTGGTACATTCAGCAGTCACTTGTTCAGTAAACAAGCAGCTGTCCTTTTGAGCTGATAGTAACATCTGTGTTTCTGCCATTGTGAGTCCCTCAGGAATGTGATCTTCATAACTTTATCAATTACGTATTTACATAATTTCTGTCTAATGTGCAATTCCCTGATATAGATGTACCTAAGTGTAACATGACAGCAAGGAAATGGAGAGAGCCATTAACTGGTTCCTTCAGGCCTCAAATTAGACCTGAGTTCAGTGACAGATTTAAGGCCAGAAAGCTGGTATTTAAGTGTTTGACTTTTTCTCTTCCAACTGAATGACCTTCTGAGATGCACATTCAGATCTTTAAGAGATACTGGAAACTATTTAGTATCAGAGCTATTCTTAAATCCCAGGGTGACATATAATTCACTTCTCAAAACCTTTTACCTTCTTCAGAAGAGCAGAATGTCTTTGTGAACTACGCCTGCACGGTCGGTTTATTAGGAGGGATCAGCCACAAACAAAAGTGGGTTGTGGTTCTGTGTGTGGTGACTGTTGGTGAAGTTGTAGAACAAATACTTTCAGTTTAACTTTTTTTTTTGAGATGGAGTCTCGCTCTGTTGCCTGGGCTGGAGGGCAGTGGCACAACTTCAGTTCACTGCATGTTGGCCAGGCTGGTCTCGAACTCCTGACCTAAAGTGATCCACCCGACTCAGCCTCCCAAAGCACTGGGATTACAGGTGTGAGCCACCACGCCCGGCCCAGTTAAACTTTTAAGGTCCAGACCTGCTTTAGGGTATTGGTCCTCATCCTGGTGATCCCTAGTGACCCCAGATTCTTGCCTCAGTACAGATGATGCTACATATCCTGCTTAGGATATTTGGGAGACGAAATGAGAAGGGGAAAAGCAGGTTGACCAGCAGCGTCCCCTATTAAGAGGAGCTGACACTATTCATATCTCTGATGTCTAACTTACATTAATCATAAGAGAAGTGGTGCATTTTATGAAAGACTTACATTCACACTTGGCTCCTTTCATTTGTAAATGAAGATAATATAGTCAGTATACTTGGGGTGTAGACTATGGTGCAAGACGATATAAATTAATCCATGCCCCCAAACAAGTGACTTTTGAGGAAAAGCTTCTCATAACAAGTAATCTTCTTATAATAGATACGTAAATCCTGTTGAATAAATATAACTGCAAAATTATCTCAGAGGTGATTGACTCTCACTGCTGTAATCACATATTGTATAAGCATTGAAATAAATACCCCCAAATGTTATTTTTATATGCATTCATTTTAGCCAGAGTCTTTTATTAAATTTCCGAGCACCCAGATTTTAGACAGGTGGTATTCAACCAATATAATTTAATCAATTAACTTCTCATTAAAAGCTCATTTCCTTCTATGCTATTCCATAGAAATTAAGAAATATAAAATAAGCTTGGTAATGAAGTTAAGTCTCTTTCCTAGCGCCTGAGAAGGAGTTTGCCCCCTGGCTTGTTGAGACGAGTTTCTTCCACTTGGACCACCACCACCTCAGCCACAGGTCTACCCACCTTGGAGCCTGCACCGGTACGGAGAGACCGCAGTACCAGCATCAAACTGCAGGAAGCACCTTCATCCAGGTAACATATGGCTCTCGCTGGTTCCATGTCTCTTAGGGAAGTTACTTGCCAAAAGTGAGTTATAAATTACAGGGGAAGGAAGCCCAAGCAATTACATTTGGTTGGAGGTCGGCTTTGAAAATGGAAAGGGTAGGTGGTTTAAATGCAGAGCCATATAGGGGTTAACAGCAGACAATCAGGCTTAACGTCTGTTGTGTGGCCTTAAGTATAAGTGGAAAGAATAACTTGAGCTGGTCTCTGCCATTGTGACCTTAGATGGGAAAGGTTAAGCCCAGGATAAAGGTAGGCTAATTTTATCTACATTGAGATTCGTATGGAGACCCTTACATCAAAAGCATCTAACTTGACAGTTGCAATTGTTATGAGATGCCCCCAGCCCAGTCCTTAGCCTCCCACAAGACCAGCTGTCTTAGCTCTGGACAAAAGAGAAAAGAGCAAATCAAAAGTAGGTCATACTAAGAACACCTGAATATGTTCAAACATTTGATAATTTAAACTTTCCTGAGGATATTAATTTTAATTTTTCAAAGCAACTTAAAAGCTAGAATTATCAAAACTAAAGGAAAGGTTATATTAACATCTAAAAAGAATTTTGAAGAAAATAGCCAAGGAAAGTGCATTTAGGGGGAGATACTGGGTCCATTTCTATTTAGAATAAAAATATTATACTTATCATATTTGATTCAAAATCATTAATTGTGACAACATTTACCATATGATTTCAGGTTTTAGAAACATATATTAGTTTTATCAATGGCCTAATAAATGAAAAATATCTACATCTGTGTCATATTACATGTTAGTAATAACAGCATTAGTTTTCTCCTGATCTTAGCCTGGAATATAAGTAGACTAACACACTGAGTCTCACAGAAATATTTCAGATTATAAGAAATTCATGACTGCCAACTTTTCTTGCCTTTTTGATTAAAAATTTTTAGTTGGTTTCTTTCATATTAATATTTGTGTTCCAAAAAACCTATAGAACTGGAAGCAAACTCAAATGCCATTATATATTTTATATGTCAGTATAATTCCACTCCATCCTATTACTGGGACTTTTGTAAAACTTGTAAACAATACAAGAAGAGATTATGCAGTGTTTCATGGACATTTTCTGAAGTTTGAAAGAGAAGTCAATGGTAATATTTTTCTCTAAAAATACTCATCATTGACAATTTCTACAGCAGCAAATACTGATAAACGTGAATAGTATTATAGTTAAATATTGCTTAATAAAATGAATCATGTTTTCAGTGTGCATCGTTAGAGAGCCTATTTTGCCAATGCACCTTGCTGAATTTCCTTTTGTAGTTTAGGTAATGCTTCATGATTTCCTTCCCACAGAATGACTCTATCAAAAATCTACTCATTCTTTCTCAAATGTCTTCCTTCTTTCTGTTATTCTTTGTTCATTCCAGTCAAATCTTATTTCCCCTCCTTGTCTCTTCTCTTAGTTAAATGAACTTGAGAGTTTAAATTGAAATCATGACAAGGAAAAAAGTTCCAAGAACTTTTAAGAACTTAACGCCCAAGGATCTTGTCATTCTTCTTTGTAAAATGGATACATCCAAATATTTACAATAGAGATAAGGAATATCATATGATCCCATCCATCCTCATTATCTCATCCTAAAAATACTCATAGATATCTTGCCTGGGTATATGTTTTCATCACTGCCTAATGCATTACCTCATAATCTCACTGTCCTGTGAAAAGTTCTGATATAATATCTGAAAGCAATGCAATTTCTTCGTCATTGTGAAGAAGGGAAATTCATTCTGAGTAGACTTTGATCCCTTTAAGGGAAAACCATTTATTAGTAGGTGGCAGTATCACCACTAAATACAACTCGTTTTGGCTTGATTATAAACCAAAGTTAAAACCTTCTGAGTTTTAGCCGTGAAATTTCTTCCCTTTTAGCCCATTTATTTATTCCTTTCCATATCTGTTCATGTATTGGGTCTCCTTGAGGATGACATTGATCAAAAGAATAACAAGAATGAGAAAAATTAGAAACACAACTTACATCCATTTACATATACAATTGGATAATTTACTACTGGGTAATTTTAAATACAGTCTGGTAGAAAGGACACTGGACTGAGAATCTGAAGGGTCTTGGTCTTAGCGCTCAGAAGTGTATTATGTTGTTAGGGGCAAGTCATTAGCCTGCCAGAATCTCTGTACCCAACCACAAGGAGTCATTAGGAAAAGGGGACTATGACATAATTGGAGGGGTAAATTAGATGGAAGAATACACGTAGGGGCTTACAAAATAGGCTGTAGAGAAATAGAAAAAGCTGAACTAAATTAGACCCTAAATCATTCCAAGTTGACCTTGCAATTGACCCCTGCCCGTGTATCTAGGCAAAAAGAACGCTGTAACCTTAGCAAAAGAGACTGTTCCCTGATCGGACTTTAAGGACTTAGAATGGAGTCAGAAGGGGATAGTAAGAGCAGAAGACCACCTTTGGGAAGAGGACTGAGATCTTGCATCACAGGCTCATCACAAACACAACTTCCATCACATACACAACTTCCACCACATACACCACAACTTCCATCACATACACAACTTCCATCACATACACAACTACCACCACATACACAACTTCCACCACATACACAACTTCCACCACATACACAACTTCCACCACATACACCACAACTTCCATCACATACACAACTTCCATCACATACACAACTTCCACCACATACACAACTTCCACCACATACACCACAACTTCCATCACATACACCACAACTTCCATCACATACACAACTTCCATCACATACACAACTTCCACCACATACACAACTTCCACCACATACACCACAACTTCCACCACATACACCACAACTTCCATCACATACACAACTTCCATCACATACACAACTTCCACCACATACACAACTTCCACCACATACACCACAACTTCCATCACATACACCACAACTTCCATCACATACACAACTTCCATCACATACACAACTTTCCTCTGCTGTGCCAGCGGGAAGAAACCATGTAAAGGCATTTCTAAGCTATTCTCCTTTACAGAATCCAAATTATTTCATATTCATGAAATCTAAAGCGGAATCAGGACATAAGGGCCAATGAAAAGCTGGAAACTATCGTGAGGGTCTCACAAAGCAATCTATGAAAGCACTTGTAGACTATAATGCATTGATACAGAATACAATGCATCGATTTATTGTTTTATTAATAGTAAAATACAATTAATATTTATTAATGTATTAATGGGATGTGACTAGGATGTCATTTATCATGAGTTCGTTAAATTCACATTCATTAAAGATATTCTAACATATTTCGCAAACTTTGAACACATTTTAAATGTTTTTATTTGAACAATTTACTATTCAGCAATTTATTTGAATAGCTAGCCTTCATAATATAGCTTTCTGAATAATATTAGGCATTGTCTTTTAAAAATCTACTTAGAAAAGTAAAAGTAATAACCTATTCCCTGTATAATGTATTGAGAACTGCAAATATTGAGGCCACATATACATTACATAATATTTCTTCACAGTAAATCTTTTCAGTTAATCAGTTCAGCAAAACGAATTAAAAGGGACCAACACCACCAGAAAATAGTCAGTGTGGTTCTCTGTTTCAGATCCAGAGCGCCTTTCATTTCATTATTTCCTTAATGCCAAGAACTTGTGAAATGCCCAGGATGTGCTTTCTGAAAAGGGTGTCAAACAAGGATTTTTGTGCCTCACTTAGTTGCTTTGTATAATTGCTGAAGGTCAACCCGCATTGCAAATGTCCCCACATATGGAAAACTGTTGTAAGAACTGAGGAGAAAAGATAAAGTTTTAAACTGCATTGGTCAATAGTTGAAGAAAAATCTTTCTAAGATGGAAAAAAAAAAAAATGGACATAACAAGTGTTAGAGTGTCAAACTGACCTCAACTCAAGTTACAGATCTTACCCATTGCCGAATTTACTAGTAATCAAAGGATACAGACAATAGTGCAACACATGCTTAGCATTCTTTCCATTGAGAGGTCTGTCAGTGCAGTTCCCTGAAAGTCCCTTTATTCCACATGTTCTGGTTTGGATTTAGCATGCAGGCTTTTAAGCAATGCATACATAGTATTACTTGCACAGAGGGAACCATTTTAGCCCTGGAACCTCTCCAAATTATATCCTCTTAATTATACAGCTTCTATGGCAATCTCCATGCATCCGTGAGCCCATAATTCTATCAATTTCAGGTTTATTTACAGTAAGCCACCCAGACAGAGGAGGCACATCCTGCTTACATTGCCAATCTAAGACTGGCAAAAGATCAAATTGTCAAATCATATTTGTATAAATTATAGAATGTATCCAGTACCAAATGTACTAGTTCTTGAAAGGACACAGGTGTTAGCAAAACACACACTAAGCACTTTTCCCTTGGAGCAGTCCAAGCCTGTTAATACAACTTTCTAAATTCCTTTTCTCCCAAATTAGTACAGAGTCTATTTCAGATTCAATATGTAAATTTTGAGCAACACATACAGAGAAATTTTGTTTTGGAATACCTCCAAAATTTATATCCCATTAATTGCATGACTTACATACCATTCTCTAGCTCAGCCTTCCATGAACCTGTTAATATTCATTCCACATTTATTTACAATAAGCAACCTATGCAGACCAGGTACGTCCTGGTCAAAGCATTCGCTGGATGAAGATTCTCCATTATCTTTCTCCTGGTACATTTCGTCAACTCCATTGTCAGCATGTCCCTTTTAACAAATTCCCTTGAAAAAATATGATGAAGTATTTTTCAATATGAAAAAATACTCCCTTTTTAGAAGGGAATTTGAATGGGTCATCACTTTTTTTTTTCTAGGTCATCACCAGTAAAGGGAAATCGTAAGCTAGAGACCTGCTGTTAACCATTTCCTTCATGAGGAAATACTGCAAAAAAACCATTATGTTTTAATAATTTCATGTTCAGTTTTTGAATACAGATGCACCAAAATAATAAGAGCACTGAAGTAAGCATTCTGACACTTAGTTTATGTAAATTCACCTGCATCTTAACCTGAATCTGCAAGTCTCTTAGAAAATCTGTGAGGAGCACAATTTGAGAGTCCAGTGAGAAGGTGTTTAATTATTATTAATTGGAAAATCAGAAAGTTATCTTTCCTTTCTGTTAACCCAGCATGCTTGGTGAGTAACTGCTATATCCCTGCAATGGAACCTGTTTTTACATAATCGGTTTCATCACTGGGAAGTACCGTGGTTCTGTCACAACCTGAACCAACACTCAGATTGGCAAGTCTATTACAGAAATGATGTTTGGGTTCTGGCAAGGTTGGCCCAATAACTGATGAATAATTTCTTGAATTTTCTTTTAATCCTGTGTTCATGGTGCTGTTAGTCCTGATTCTTGGAATAATCCGGGGATGATGACCCTCACCAAAAGCAGATCCTTCACTTCGCCCTATGCTGTTTCTGCAGCTAACCATGTAAAGGCTAAGAAGCAAAGTCGACCAGGTAAGTAACGTAACTGGAGAAGGGTTACTGTGAGGGTGGGTCACAGAGTCAACCAGGCCTTAAGTGTTGAAATATTTTGAGGGTCTCCTATATTCAGATATGTTTGGTTTGCCTGTTCTAATAATCAATTGGTTATTTTTAAACGCCTCAATAACCAATTTGTTATTTAAATTTCCACCTATGTGATGATACAGATTCCTTCACAGTTGTTGTACAAGATTTTCTATCTTGAACTAATTAGATGCATAGGAAATCACTTTTACCGTCAAAGATAATCTCGGGAAGCATCATCTCATAATAGAAATTCCAATTTTATTTTTAGTGTCTATTAAAATTACTTTTCAGGAGTATGATATTTATAAGTTCAAGGAAGTGTTTCATTGACTACATATGAGCTATAAGGAATTTAGATATCAAAAATTAAGAGTAATAAAGCTTTAGATAGGAAGATGAAATGATATGGGGGAGGATTAGCCTCATGTGTTCAGGGTCTGTGCTCAGCCAAAACTATAATAGGAGTTTTTGTCAGATTCTGTCTCTGAATTGCCTTTCTCCTTAGAAGCCCAATTGAGAACCTGAGGTATTTCCTCTGGTCTTTCCTTTTTGAAATCTAACTTCATGGTTTCACTTCTCAGCAGTACAGAAAATATCGATGATTTTTTCAGGAACTTCCGGATTCATCTACTGCCTTTTAGCAGTTTAGGGTTTCATCAGATGGTTAAAAGGAAACCTGCCGACTTCCCACTGAGACATGAAACATTCAAATTCTGGCTGCCATGGCAACCCCAAACTCCAATTTTTATGTCATCAACCTCATGACATTGCTAAAAGCTCTGCTGGCTGCCTCCCAAATAGCTGCACCCCTCTGTCTGGAGCCTCCACTTCTTACTCCATGCCAGTAGTCAGTAAATAATGCTTTGAGGGGAAAAACAGTCTGCAGGATTTTGGCCCACCTTTCTGAGATTCTCTTCTTCATGAGAACCTGGTCCCTCAGAATTGTGTGTTTTACCTCGATAGCTTTCTTGGTACCGTTTAACTGGGATTACGTCAGTGAAAAACCGCTAAGGTAATCTGGATTTCCAACAACTTATCTGGTCCTCTCTGCTCTTCAGAAATGTTCGTTAAATTTTATCGCTTTTAGGAGTCATTAACTACCTGCTAATAAAATTGAGCTTTCATCAGGGCCAGGCAATGTAGGCTAATGTAGGCGAATACTTAAATTGAGATATCCCTGAGGAAAAATGCAGATTAGCTCAGTAATAAGGAGAATCATCTGGGACTCCAACAAGGTGGAGAAACTGCATTTGAGAATTCCACATTAAACCTGAGACTCTTGAAGGCACACTAAGGTGGTTTTAGGTGTGTGGGACAACTTGGCTCCCTATAAAAATAGATGCAGATAATTTTGGAAGGAAAGCATCATCAACCAAGGGCCATGAGATTTTATCAGATCATATTCAAACATGGAACTTACAACCAGGATCACTAATTGCACAAAGAAACACCATGAGTTTGACAGAAACAAACAACTTTCTAGATCTGTAAGAGGGTCAAATATGTAAATTGAAATTCAATTTAAAAATTTACACATTGAAGGAAAAATAATCGCCGTGAGAAAAGACATAACTGCAGAGCAGTTAAATAGACCTGGAAATGTAGGCAAGGAAATGTTAAATAGCATAGCAGACTACTGAAGAGACCATTAGCAAACTGGGTAGAGAAAGGTTTGAAGAAATCATCCAGGATGCAACACAGATGAAAATGGGAAACCATCGTAGCTTTTAAGGGATGTAGAAAAATTACAAAGTCTAATATACATAATGTATGTAATCGTAGTTTTAGTAGCAGATGGAAGACAGGAAATACTCAGGAGGCGCCTAATAAATGGAAAGAAACTCACACGTAGATACAAAATAGTGAAACTACATAACACCAGAGATACACACACACACACACACACACACACACACAAATCCTAAAGTCTACCAGAGGAAAGACAAATTTCCTTTTCAGGAGAAGCAGTCAGGCTGAAAGCAGAACTATTGGAAATACTGGGAGTCAGAACACAGTGGAATATTTTCTTCCAAGTTCTGAAACAATATGGTAGCCTCAAATTTTGTGCCTGGCAGATTCATCTTACAAGAATAGGAGTGAACCAAAGTCAATTTGAAAGAAGTCAAAACATTACCACCTGGCAAGTCTTTACTAAAGGAATTATAATGGATACATTCTAGAAAGAAGAAGAAGAAGAAGAACAGAAGGCTTGAGCTCTAATAAAAATGTTAAATCTGAAAACCAGGGTCAATCCAAACAAACATTAGATTCATAAATAATAGTATTTCCAGATTTGTGAAGAGTTTTTATAAGATTTTTAAAGGACAGAACTAAAATTTCAGACAGTCATGGTATGTAACTCAAGAGATGACATATAGGCCGGGCACGGTGGCTCAAGCCTGTAATCCCAGCACTTTGGGAGGCCAAGGTGGGTGGATCACAAGGTCAACAGATCGAGACCATCCTGGTCAACATGGTGAAACCCTGTCTCTACTAAAAATACAAAAAATTAGCCGGGCGTAGTGGGTCGTGCCTGTAATTCCAGCTACTCAGGAGGCTGAGGCAGGAGAATTGCCTGAACCCAGGAGGCGGAGGTTGTGGTGAGCCGAGATCGCGCCATTGCACTCCAGCCTGGGTAACAAGAGCGAAACTCCGTCTCAAAAAAAAAAAAAGAAAAAAAGAGATAACATATAAATTTAAGTGTTCTAAATCTGCGTGTAGTTCAGAAAGGGGGTTCAGATGAGGAAACTGAGGAAAAGAAGGTTAAGTCACTTGCTTTCTCTAGGTCATATGATCAGTCCTGAACACTTTCTTTACGCTAACAACTTCATACTAGAAAAAAGTGAGATGACAAATTGTCATAATTTAAAATTAGGATATTTTGGGTTCTGTACTTGGCTGGGTACAAGATAATAGGAGGGTTTGGTTTTCTTACCATGTTTCTTCAGTTAAGTAATAACATAAAAATTACTGAATAACCAACATGATAAGATCAAGAAGGTGAAAATTATGGTTAGGGCACACACTGAAAATAAGAGCAAATGATGGAACAGCCTTATATTCCTGTGTCCTGCTCCCCAGTTTGTATGACAGATTCTAGAAAAAAGAGCAAAGTGTGAAAGGAAAGGAATGTTCACATAAGATACGACACAGACAGATGGTGGGAATTAGGGCCACAGGCATAGCAAGAGCCCCTTTCCATTGCTGCCATTAGGTGCATAAGGTATTTTCATCATGATCATTTTGGAGGGGCTTTTGCATTGTGGCACCTTTAGACAGCTGTCACAGCACAGCTCAATGTTTATAAAATAACCTATATTCCAGGCATGCCAAATCCAACTAATTAAATTCCTAAAGGTCTGCCAAAAGACACAAAAACATCTATCAAGAATTAGGGGGCTGAAAAGAGACAGCAACTCTCCCTGGTGAGACGGGAGCTTCTGCTTTCAAATCCTTGCTTCCCTGTTTGGGTGGATGGAGCTCGGTGGTTGTGACATGTTTGATCCAGTTGACCGTGATGCATCCTGGTTTTCCATAAACCAGGGAAGAAGCTGGGAGGAGCCCCCTTGTGGCAAAGAGTGTAAGCAAATGGAATGAAATGAAACGTGTCCTCAGACGTTTGAGGACACATGGTAGCCACAGGCAATGAAGGGAGAGGGAGCAAGCAGACATCCTGACAGATAAATACTCTGCTTCCAGAGAGGAGTAACGAAATTTGTTCTTTGCCCAAATCAAGTAAACAGTGTGTCCTCTAGTTCAGTCAATCAATGTTAGTTTTAAATAGCTGAAACACAAATTATTCAATTACTAATATAAAATAAATGAATGAAACCACATAGGACTCCTTTAATTAAAGCTTAAAAGCAGGAGGTTCAAATATAATTCATGTTTTCAATTTTGCTCTTCTAGTATGAGTCACTGACATTGCGGAGTCACCGTGATATTATTCTGCTTTCAAAACTCCTTGAATTTACAGTTACTTTATTTGCAGTAGTCCTTCCCCAGATTCTTGTAAGTTTGGCTGCCCATTGCAGTGACAACAGGTATCTCTACACCTGTAATCTAGACTCTGTTTTTCCTACACAAAATCTGAAATGCTAGAGAACTTCAGCTATGGTATTGGGACTCTTTTTCTCTGCCATTCTTTTAGATGCAATTTCTGTTTTGGAAAAATATTCGGGCTGACCATTTTCATCTGGGCATGAAAAAAGAGATATCTTTATCAGACAAGCTGGTTCCTTTTTTGTTCAATTAGAATTAAACTGAGAGAGTTTTATAGCACAAAACAGATGGATTCACTTAAATAATTCCCCGGCAGTATTGTTTATTTTCTCTCTCTGATTGCCCAAAATTCCTTGTGTCTTGACACACATTTTCTCATGCTCTCAGGGACAAGGAATTAAAGGCAGAATTACTCAAAGGAGTTGGCATTTTAAACTTTATTTTTAAAATTGTATTTTTAATTTTTTTGTTTTTCAATGTTTTGATTTTAAGTATTTCACATTAGGACAGTTTGAATCATTCAAAAATTTATATTTCATGAGTTATGTCTTCTTCCTGGAATCTGCTAAAATTACCCAAATATAAAGTGAAGATGAACATTAATATATTTGAGAGAATACGTTGATCTGAATCCCTTCATTTGTGTGTATGTAAATGTGTGAGCATGCAATATAAAATTAGATGAGACTTTCAAAAGCTCTGACACTCATCCCTCTAACTTCAGACATGATCACATTGAAACCTTTTTAGAAAATTTGTTTTTAAAGATTTCCAAAGGTTATTCCTCCCAGTTCCTTCAATGGTCCTCTTCCTGTAACTGAAATCGTTTATTTATAATTTATCCGTTCTAGAAAAAAATTTCGTTATTATCTGCATTTATCTCCCTATCTTTTTGAAGACTGATACGTGTAAATATGCATGCACATCCTAATTCTTCCTGTTTTCTTAAACTTTAAGTAAACTATGATAATGCACACTAGGATGGTTTGGCTTTGGGGAAAAAAAGAACTTTAATAGCTTTAGCTTCTCACCTGCAGAATAAAGATATCCCTGCTTCTCAGGTTTGTTGCCAAAAGTTGTGCTTCACCCAGCCTGGGATGTAGCAGTGGCGCCATCTCGGCTAACAGAAACCTTCACCTGCTAGGTTCAAGTGATTCTTCTGCCTCAGCCCCACGAGTAGCTGGGAAAAAAGGCATGCGCCACCACGCCTGCCTAATTTTTGTGTTTTTAGTAGAGACAGGATTTCACCATGTTGGCCAGGCTAGTCTCGAACTCCTTAACATCAGATGATCCGCCCACCTCGGCCTTCCAAAGTGCTGAGATAACAGGTTTGAGCCAGTGCGCCCGGCTGAATTATGCTTTCAATAGTGTTCAAAATATGTAGGCTAATACTACAGAAGAGCGTCTCTGCTACAGGTTTATTTTAAGTTTCATCCCAGCCAGTACATGTGCTATCAGATGTGCTTGTTTGTTTAAATTTAGTTAATCCGTGAGTTCCAAGAACCCTAATGGTGTGTGAATTTTAAAATTTGTGTTTGAAAGTGAATTGCATGTATCTGAGCGTCAGCTGGCAGCGACTAAAACTTAGCAATGAAAAAAATCATTCTCATAAACTGCCTTCAGAAAATACACAGCGTCAAGACAAATGGACAGTGTTCTCATGGGCTTTGAACTATTGTTCTATTAAAAAAATTGTGTAGAAAACTGTCCCCAACTCGCAGTTTACTGTCAGAATAAGTAAGGAATTGCCTAACACAGTGTCTATCAGGGATCTCTTTTTCTTATGACACAGCAATTACTTTTTATTGAAAAAACCACAATGACATTTGCACCAGCCTAATAAAACTTTGCCCTGGGCCTACCCAACCCTAACCAGACTTGCCCAGCAGCCTCCCTGACCACATCCCCTGCCCCTTTTTCTTTTTGAGAAATTGCCAGCCACTGACCTTCTGACTGCTCCGCTGGCTCCACCCCTCCATGTCCCTCTTTCCTGAGCTCGCTGTCCCCAGATACTTCTCTACATGTCTTGCTTATTTCATGAGGTCTCCATTCAGATTGTCCCCACCCGCACCCCTTCCCAGCCAGAGGGGCCTTCCCAGACCATCTTACCTAAAGAGCATCTGACCTTACCCTATGCATTGTTTTCTTCCTATCACTTCAACGTGTTAACTTTTCTTTTCTTTCTCTTTTACTAACTTTTATTTTTTAGTTTCTGTCTCTCCTAGAAAAGCGGGCGCTCCATTAGAGCAGGAATTTTATTTTATACCCTACTCCACCCATGGAGCAAGACTCACAACAAGTAGTTACTTGTTGAATGAATAAATCACTGAGATTCCCGTACAGACGCTTTGGTAGACAGCCCGCCACATCGTACGAGGATTCAGTCCTTACCAGTTACAGTGCCTTTCTAACATTATCGGGAGTCCCTGTCTAAATCCAAAAGCTAGTCAGAATGACACCAACCCTTTTCAACCTTTGCATCAGAGTACCCATATATGTGTAGTAATGTTTGTGAATATCACAGCAGTAGAGAAATGGGAAGGGATCTGAGTTTGAAAATTAGATTTTATTTATTTTATAAAATTATAATGAGAATATCTAATTATAAACGATTAGAGATAACATTAAAAATTGAGTTTATTCTAGAGTTTCCAAATAAAATTTTTCTTTTTTAAAAAAGTTTACAACCATTAAATAATTCACAGCAAATGCTTCACATTGTCTGGGAAATTCTGAGTTAAAACCTTTGTGAACTTTTTTTTTTTTTTTTTTGGCTCGGGAGACTATGTAATGTGAAGGATTGTCATTATCTTTGGAAAAGTAAGTTTTTTTAAGAGAAGTAGGAATTGAAATAAAAACCATAAGTCATGACATAAGGAGCAATGCAAATGCTGCCTAATAGGTCATGAGGAGTTTTACTTTCCCCTTGGGTAGTCTCTGATAAAGGTACTGGTTTCTAAACTACATTTTACTATGAGTAGCTGGGTTTCCTCTACATTCTCCCATGTACTAGTACTGTGACTCTGTGCGGGTGTTTTGACTTGTCTGGGTCTAAGCGGTTTCATTTGCTTAGTAGAAAGGCTGGGAGGGGTTTGAGCTGCTGATTCGGAATTGACAGTAGATGTGTTGGAAAGAACTGCAGACGTTGCTGCTCTTCTCACTGAAGCGAGGGGAGAGTGAGATTTCTCATCTTTAACAACTGCAACAAAAATAACAGCGCCAAAAGAAATTAGAAAGAAAATGACACACACTCACACAAAAGCCCTCAGCAACTTTTAACATTCTTTTCAGTGGACCAGAAAACCTTTGGTGTGACAATTGAAACTTTTGAGGAAGCTAGACCCTGGAAGCAAACTTTGCTGAAAGCCAGCTGCCAGCTAACCACACACATAATTCCATGATGTGAAGGTGGATGGCTGTGAATTTCCCTAAGTGGTGAGAAACAGAGAATGACTTTTAGTAATTTCATTTCATTTGCCCCACAGTACATTGTTCAACCATAAAATCAAGAAAATCTGTAAGCAGATTGTTGGCCAGAAGTTCCTTCTCTCCTTTTTTCCATTTTAAGTGCAGGGTGCCTTCCCTGCGGTTGGGAGAGAGTAACTTCAAAAGGCATTGTCCGTGTCTTCCAACAGCTACACTTTGAAATCTCAGCCAGTGTCCTGTAAAATTCTCACAATCTAGAGTAAATACGGTTTGGCACAAGTACCCACGCTTGAAATGGAGGCTTTAGGATTATGGTTTGACCTGAAGTGGATTATATTACATTTTAAAATATTTTCTTCAAAAATTATTTCAAAACACTGTTTCACACCAGAAGGTCTTGCTTCACTGAAACTGCGAATGGTTAAGAACATTAATTTCCTCTCAGTAATGCATCTTCTTTATTTACATATTTCAAGCACCTGATGCCTGGTGAACTCTGCCCCAGATACTGGTTAATGTTTAAAACAATAGCAGGTCCTGCTTCTGCTAAACCTTCACAACCTAAGAGAAAGTAAACACATGAGAAAAATTTAACTATTATTTCCGTGTCAGAATGACAAGAAGAAACAAAAATAGGAGGACAAAATAATATTCTTCTGTCCTGAAGTTACTCCATGACACCAGGGCTTTGGCTGGACGTGCCAACGTTGCCACTGATTTTTTTATGATGATTCATTTCTCCCATTAAATGCTGTGAAGACGCCCCAACCACACTGGCTCCAGATGTTGGTATGCGGAGGCGCCCAGCCTGGTGACCTGAGCAGGCGTGTGGTTGTTATTGAGTTTATAAGGGTCCAGGTGAAGTTCATCAGTTGCAATCTTGCATTTTAAAGACTTTTGTTTAGTTACTTAACTCTCATTCTTTCTCAGGTGCCCTCGCTAAAACTTCCCCTCTTTCATCGCCCTGCTCCTCACCTCTCCGAGGAACTCCTGCCGACAGCCTCGTCGGCAAAATTTCTGCAGAGCAGTTTCCAGAGTCTGCTGACACGACTGCCAAACGAAGCCTAGGTTCTCACAGGGCCTTAACCTACACTCAGAGTGCCCCCGACCTGTCCCCTCAAATCCTGACTCCACCTGTTATATGTAGCAGGTAAGGACTTTTTTTATGAACTGAAGTTTAATAATAAAACCATTGATAATTTTCCCCTGGAAATACCTACCACCAGCCCACAAAGCTTGGGGTAGGTTTGCCAAAGTCGTTGACAACCAAGAATGGGATAATGTCACTTCTGTTGAATAGGCTACAATAAAAACTTACGTTTCAGTAATTTGTTATTAACGAAGATTAGAATCCACGCAGTTCACACAGCTAATCTTTAGAGAGGATACACGATTATTAGCTGTATGTGTTGTCTGTTTCCTGATGGAGAATATAGAAAAAATGTAACTAAAAATGATATCAAGTATTCTGTTACAATTCTTCATTTTGTTGCAGTGTTTGTACCTGTTCTCCGAGCGTGTTACATATTAGCTATGTTCAATCTTAGGTTTGCATTTCCCATTTTTAGTTTAAAAATCTGTGAATAATACATTGCGCAGGATGGCTGGACTCACATAGTTCTCTGAACTCAATTTAAGCAATTGTATGTGCTATTCTATCATGTTGAAACAAAATGATAGAGTGTTATCTATCACATGGGTTAAGGAAAAATGGCTGGAGTAATTATTTTCCCAAGATTGTCACTGAGAAAGAATTATCTCTTCTTACTGGTTAATGTATTTTTGTTGTTCTTAAGTAATAGCTTGAATAATTTATCTGAAAGCATTATGGTATTATTTAAGTAGAAAAACAGTTGGGAGTTTTTCTAGGTACCGTGCAAGTACCTTAAATAAAACAGTATTTCATTTCTGAGGTTAGTAAGGATAACTATTGAATAAATGAGTAGCATGGCGGTGTCCTAGCATCAAACAGTACTTCACAGATGCAGGTTTTATCAATATATTCAGTGCTAACAAATAGCAGCTATTATTAAGCCTCACAATTTTCATTTTTATATTTTTTAGTCAGAAGCTCTGTAAATTAAATAAATGTTTATAATTTCTGTTTTTACTTCCTTTCTCTTGACAATTTTTTTTTTTTGAGACGGAGTCTCGCTCTTGTTACCCAGGCTGGAGTGCAATGGCGCGATCTCGGCTCACCGCAACCTCCGCCTCCTGGGTTCAGGCAATTCTCCTGCCTCAGCCTCCTGAGTAGCTGGGATTACAGGCACGCTCCACCGTGTCCAGCTAATTTTTTGTGTTTTTAGTAGAGACGGGGTTTCACCATGTTGACCAGGATGGGCTCGATCTCTCGACCTCGTGATCCACCCGCCTCGGCCTCCCAAAGTGCTGGGATTACAGGCTTGAGCCACCGCGCCCGGCCTCTCTTGACAATTTTAAAAAAGAAATTCTTTTCATTTGCTTGCGCAGAGCCAAAGTGATTCTGCTGCCCTCTATGAGTTGTTTTTAATAAAATGATTTCTGTGGGATACTGATCTCATCTCTTTTCCACAAAAAAGCAAGTTCTATAGTAAAAGACTGAGAAGATATATCATACTTCACTCTTAGAGATTCATAACGTATATGGCTTTATTACAAGTTCTTGGAAGTCCTGTTAAAAGAGTTTCTCTTTGGTTTCGTTGTTGTTGTGGTTTCATTCAGTGTTTTCTGAACTTGTCTGACCACAGAAGCAGTTTCTTTAAGTTAACACCCAATAGTTGCCCATGGATCTGATGTTTGGCAGAGCACAATTAAGAAGCATTGTTTTATTATATGCACCCTGAGCCAAGATGAGGCCCCCTGGAGTAATCTTCATCAAGGACATCTGTGTTCAGCATTTTTAGGGAGAATCTCCCACTGTGGGTTCCAGACTTTTGGGAAATATGTCCCCTGAAGGAAGGAGAGAGAGGTTCAGGAAAGCTCTACCACTCAGCAGCTCTTTTCATCATAGTGGGGTTTGTTGTTGTTGTATTCTCAGCAGGTAGAATGAAATGGGATTTTTATAAAAGAGGTTTTGGAGAAAAACCAGGGGGTTTTACTGTCTACTTGTTCAGTGATGTTTATAAATCCAGTAGTGTGTGCTTTATTTGTTTGGGCTTTATAAATCTATAATTCAAAGCAGGTTTGATTGTTGCCTTAAAGGCAGCCACCCACGTAGGCACAGAGAGGTCCAGAAACACACGGCTAATTGTTGTGGTTTCCACTGCTGAACTGAAGAGTTTGGCGTCGAACCCCAGTCTCTTGGCTGCTGTACAGCCTGTGCAACAAGCCGTTTTTCTGTCGTGAGAGCTTCCATATTTGAAGCGCTAATTTAAATGGTCTTTTTAGGTATTATTTTGCAATGAAAAATTTTAAGGCTAATAAACTCTGCTTCTGAGAATGTGAGCCTCCCAATTGTATCTACCTTCTTTTTCCTTTTTGTCCTATCGTTTTCTTTTTAATCTCTACGCCAAATGGACGGATTTAATAATTAGAAATATTTTACATGTAATGTTTTTCTGTCTACACTTAAGGGTTGCAAAGTAAAGTTACTTAGTATGTAGATACTGTCTAGCTGGAAAATGCTCTTCTCAGCACACACACAGACACAATTCAGGAAAAAATGATGAGGTATTTAAGATATTAAGAAGCTATCACTACTGTTTTCATTTTAGACTGGGTCTTCTGTGGTTAAATAACAAACAAAAAGATCCTCTGAGACCCTTTGTAATATTAGTCAGATGGAAAGAACCCAGCAGCAAAATGCAGAACCAAAATCTAATCATGAAGTCTAAACAAGGTAGAAGAGGGAAGAGCCAGTTTATGGACTCTGCTAGGCCATGAATGGGGTTACCGTTTAATTTTTTTTTTTTTTTTTTTTTTGAGACGGAGTTTCGCTCTTGTTACCCAGGCTGGAGTGCAATGGCGTGATCTCGGCTCACCGCAACCTCCGCCTCCTGGGTTCAGGCAATTCTCCTGCCTCAGCCTCCTGAGTAGCTGGGATTACAGGCACGCACCACCATGCCCAGCTAATTTTTTGTGTTTTTAGTAGAGACGGGATTTCACCATGTTGACCAGGATGGTCTCGATCTCGTGACCTTGTGATCCACCCGCCTGGGCCTCCCAAGTGCTGGGATTACAGGCGTGAGCCACCATGCCCGGCCACCGTTTAATTTTTAAAACAGTCAAACTTCATTCCTCCAGCACCCTCTGTTGGAGGGCATTGCTTACCTCTCCTACCTTTGTTTTTTTGGGGGGACACCCTGCCTTTACGGCCTGTTTCTCTCAACCAGCATCCCATGTGGTCAGTGTAGTCAGTCATACATTTGCTCTTCCTCAAAATGCACCTCTCTTTTGTTCATTTCCTTAGAGCCTTAACAGTAACTGATCAATCTGAAAAAAAAATTCCATTTTTATTTTGTAGCAAAACATAAAATTCATATACTATCATTCTATTTCAACCTTTGCTGTCTTTTCTTAAAGGCCTGTTTAGACATGAAAATATCATAACCCAAATAAATAAATCTAATAATGAGGGTTTCTTTTTTTGAGGCGCCGTCTCACTCTGTTGCCCATGCTGGAATGCAGTGGTATCACTCACCCCAGCCTCCAATTCTCAGGTTCAAGCCAGTCTCCTGCCTCAGCCTCCCGAGTAGCTGAGATTACAGGTGTTCGCCACCCCATATGACTAATTTTTGTATTTTTAGTAGAGACAGGATTTCACAATGTTGGCCAGGCTTGTGTCGAGCTCCTGACCTCAGGTGATCTGCCTGCCTCGGCTTCCCAAAGTGCTGGGATTACAGACATGAGCCACTGTGCCTGGCACATAATGAGGCTTTTAAGCAGGCACGAGGTATTTTGTTGGGGAAGATACTGTTGTCCAATATAGGTCAACACCTGCAAATTTGGTACTATAAGTAGGTAGCAGCCTATCCCAGTATTCTGTAAATAATCTAACAACATTTTATTCCACTTCACCTCAAATATAATCTAGGTAAAGGAGGCGGAGAATGAGAATCAGATGACATTTCTAATCCTTTGTATTTATTACTCTCTCACAAGAAAATAAAGTAGTATGTTGCATATCAGCATTTGTGTATCAAACAAAATGAATATTTTTACAAAACAAGTAGAAGGTAGAAATACTTTACTATTGTTGTTTACCTTAAAGTACACTTAGACGGCATGTGCCTATGACTTTCTGAAAAGAGCAGGACATACCTACAGCTCTTCCAATATCTTTTAGCTGTGGCAGACCATATTCCCAAGGGAATCCTGCTGATGGGCCCCTGGAGAGGAGCGGGGCAGCCACTCGGACACCAGGTAGAACAGGTAATTCGTTGTTTGGGATCCTGTTGCCCAGAGTGGAAATTGCTTTATGTTTTCTTCCTGATCCAAAGTGACCTACATTTCTGATTTGCGGGGGGTTCCGGGGGACAGGGTCTCACAGTGTTGTCCAGGTTGCTCTTAAACCCCTGGGCTCAAGTGATACTTTCACTTCAGCCACTCCTAGTATTACAGGCATGAGCCATTGTGCCCAGCCTGATTTTTAAAAGTACACATTGGAAAGGACAAAGGAGAAAACCAGAGTCACCTATAATCCTACTCTCTGGAGTTAACCATGGGTAAAGTTTGGGTGCAGAGCTTTCCAAAATGTTTTTATGCAGTTATACATGTGTATATTTTTAAAACACAAGAGGCCATTTTACATAATATATAGAACTATATAGCAATGTTATTTTATCTTGCTACTTCTGACATTGGAAGTGCTTTAAGTCGTTCCCAAAACATAGCAAACACTCAATAAACCTCCTTCAGGCACCTTACTCAGCTATGAGAAATGGCATAGGAGCTCAGAGAACATAGACTGGGTGTTTACTGATTGGTCTTTTAGTTAGCACAGTTTACTGCTGACTGAAATGGCGAGAGTGAAGTGGGATAGATAAGAAGGAAGCCACAGTATTCTAAGAAATGGGATTAGATACATAGGATTTCCCTTGCCCTTAAGCATGTACCATCACTCTGCTCTACAGAGCACTTTACTCCTGGGTGTGTCAACTCAATGTCTTCCACCTTGCATGCCCATCCTACAGTAAGTGTTACAGTCAGTTACTCAGTGGTTTAATGTTTAAGGAGAGAGATAGTGAAAAAAGAAAGATAAAGTCATAGGATTTGTAAAGGTATGAACTGTTCATCTAAAAAATATTATTGAGGAATTACTGAATGCCATGCAGATTACAGATTATAATTTCCATCTGTTTTACTTTGTTAAGAGATGTGTGCTTTTCTCCACCCTATAATCATACAGGATTGTATATTATTAGATACTATTCTTGGGTTTGAAGCTCACGAAAGCAGTATCTCCCTAAACGCTCTGTTTACCGTATACATCTTAGCAAAGTCTGCTTGAATGAGCCCCCTTTCCCCATTGCAGATCTCGTCATAAGTTGTTCTCTTTTCATTGTAGACGACACTGCTCAAGTTACCTCTGATTATGAAACCAATAACAACAGTGACGGCAGTGACATTGTACAGAATGAAGATGAGACAGAGTGCCTGAGCGAGCCTCTGAGGAAAGCATCAGCTTGCAGCACCTATGCACCTGACACCATGATGTTTCTGGTAGTCCTCTATCACTTAACTCACTCGTTTACTCGAGAAATCAGCTTCTGTCACAGATACTGGCTTAGAAGTGAACCTTTGAGCCCTTGCATGGTGGCTTGCGCCTGTAATCCCAACACTTTGGGAGCTCGGGGTGGGCAGATTATTGAGGTCAGGAGTTTGAGAATAGGCTGGCCAACATGGTGAAACCCCATTTCTACTAAAAATACAAAAAACTTAGTCAGATGTGGTGGCAGGCACCTGTAATCCCAGCTACCCGGGAGCACGAGGCAGGAGAATCACTTGAACCTGGGAGGTGGAGGCTGCAGTGAGCTGAGGTCATGCCACTGCACTCTATACTGGGCAACAGAGTGAGACTCCATCTCAAAAAAAAGAAAAAAAGAAAAAAAGAAATGAATCTCTGAAACATATTTACAGATGTATTTCGTCCAGATTACACATGTATTATAACCCTTCCCATACATATAAATATATTTTTTCTCTTTTCAAGCATTATCAGTCTCTTCTATTATCAGGTGATTAAAAGCTTAAGTATGTATTATTATACAATGATTACAGATTTTTATTGACCCAATTGAAAAGTAAATATAGGACAAAATACTTCATTCATTAAAACAACACTTTATAAAGAGAGAAAGATGAAAGAAAGGAGGGAAGACATTCACTGTCTTAGGGCATCTGCTGGTTTTCTCTAGCACCTCCTTGACTTAGAACATGAACCAATATGTGTTTTTCTTGTTATATTAAGTCAGGCATATATTGACACTAGCCACCTATTAAAATATCCCTTAATGATGACGTATTCTGTGTGTTTAAAGAGATCCGTTTAAGGAGGATGAAAGCATCCATCTGAGTGAGTTCATTTTAGGGAGGCAGCAAATGGTGGAAAATTGTTGGTTCTCAAGTGATCATCAATGGCTGCTATTATCATTTTTCTTTTACTGTGTTTACTGTTTGTATTTCTAAGTCAGAGAGATTGTCGGGTAAAATAATTTATATGTTTCCTTATCCTCATTATCTTTCTTCTTAAATTTTCTTTTCTTTTTTTTTTTGAGGCGGAGTTTCGCTCTTGTTACCCAGGCTGGAGTGCAATGGCGCGATCTCGGCTCACCGCAACCTCCGCCTCCTGGGTTCAGGCAATTCTCCTGCCTCAGCCTCCCGAGTAGCTGGGACTACAGGCATGTGCCACCATGCCCAGCTAATTTTTTGTATTTTTAGTAGAGATGGGGTTTCACCATGTTAACCAGGATGGTCTCGATCTCTTGACCTCATGATCCACCCACCTCAGCCTCCCAAAGTGCTGGAAATTTTTTTTTTTTCTGGCAAATGTACTCTTAAGAGTGTCCTCATTTGGGACCATGTTATAAAAAGCCTTTACATTTACATGGTGCGTGTTTCTCAGGAAACAGTAGATCACATGAAATAAATTAAAATCCATGAAAAATGTGGCAGTTGTTATTCTATAGGACTAATGTCCATTTTGAAGCATTAATATAAACAGTAATAATAGGAGTGATTAAATCCTCCTACTCATGGATTTTTTTGAGAGTTTAAGGAAGGAACCCTCATCTCAGAAAAATTTACATAATCATGTAGAGATATAAATTCACATGTAATTTCAGAATATTCTGAAGTCTTTAAAACCTTAAGAACCTTGCAGTAGATCCAAAGCAGTTGTACTGACTTATAGAAGAAACATCCATGTTTTTGCTGGAGTGTATATGGACCAGTGATAGGCAAGCACTTCCTAGTGCAGAATTCATGTCTGAAACAGCGTCAGTTCCTTTCCTCACTTTGCGGTCAATGTCTTGTTCATCTTGACCTTTTTTTTCGTAAACATCACTCATTCACCTTGGAGTTTTAAGTCATTTATTTCCAGTAGCCACAGTATTTATTGAATTTAGCGAAGCACAAATTGCCCTGTAGGAAAAGTACCTGCTGCTTAAGTATTTTAATCTTAAACATTACAGGACAAACCAGTTCTTGCTCCCGAACCTCTTGTCATGGATAACCTGGACTCAATTATGGAGCAGCTAAATGCTTGGAATTTTCCAATTTTTGATTTAGTGGAAAATATAGGAAGAAAATGTGGCCGTATTCTTAGTCAGGTAAGAAATGCGTTCATTCATACTAATTTAAATATAGGACAAACAATTCCTTGGTTACTTAAAGCTCTGTAAATTCTGGACACGTGTGGATAGGTGTTGTGTGGAGAAAGGAAGTTTTAGAACACAACGTTCTGTAGATTTCTTGGTGGTGGGTTAACGAAAGGAACCTCAAGTGAGTCAAATGTCATATTCTGCAATTAAAATACTACATATTTTTTAAGACAAAGTAGGAGGGGATAGAGCTATATAAACAAGGGACAAACCATCTAGGATTCATAGAATTAAGCAAGAGAAAATCTGACACTAGCCCCTAAAAGAAGAAAACCACCTATTTAGAAATACTAACTTATGGTCAAATAATTTTCATTGACATTTTAATAACTTTGGAAGATTATGGAGCTTAAACCTTATTAAAGATAAGATGTGCCAAAATGTGTTTCCTCCTACCGCTTTGAGAAACACATCAGATAGAGTTCTCTGTATCTGAAAATCACAAACTCCTCTATTTATGACAAGAAATAAAGGATAATACTGTTGCCGTGTGAGCAGCCTGTAAGTATGGTTTTCTTCAGGCTAGATTGCTCTCAAGGCTTTTCACATAGGTAATTATTTGTTTTCCTGAAGAAGAAAGAAAACACACAGAAATTAAGAATTTGAAAATGTTTGTTTTAAACCACAAAACAGTGATGGATTTGCTGTACTATGGAAGATCTATCAAAATACACACCCTTCATTAAACAAGGAGGATGGTGCAATAATATGTATGGGCTTATCTGCACGTTTGAGGTGTGTTCTTATCAGTTTGAATAACTATCAGAGCAGAGATAGTAAGGACCACCAAACCTGTGGATATAAGACTGAGGAAAGAATTCGGGACCCAAACCCAGATTTACTGACATCACTAACACTTCTCAGCAAAACACCAGAAGAGAAATCACTGAAATGCTGCTTTCTATGCAGCGCCTCAGAGATGAGCTTTCTTTGGATCACTCAACATGTGTCTGAATGTGGAACTTTGTTTGGGGTGAGGATCCTGATCTGTGAAGACTGAAGGGAAAAGATAACAGGTGTTTCTTCTAGTTTTAATTCTACAGGCACATATGGCTGTCTGGTCTAGGGGTACATACACTAACATTGTTGAAGGAGTATGAGACAGAATTCTTACAGAGTCTGGACAATATTCAGTTATTGCCTCTGCTAGACTCCATTCTGTCTCTGACCGTGTCGAGGAATATGATGGCAGCCCTTGCACTTTAGGAGTTGAGAGTCCTGTTCTTCTTCCTTTCCTTAATTCTCGGTGCTAAGCAATGTCTCTTATTCTAGCTCATCTTAAGGACAGATTTAAGGGTGGCTGTTCTGTCCAATTCACCTTTGCCTCACACCTTAGGGAGCCCCCTGGGAGATCGTGTTATCTTTTTCTGAAACTCATGACAAACTGCAACTTTGAGGGAGTGATCTCTCCTGGAAATAAGCTCATAATGGTACCACAAGATGCGGCGATGAGCCAGGAAGCATTCCCCGCCCCCGCCCCCCGCCTCTTTATTTATTTACGTTTTTTTACTGGGGAGTGTGTTCCCTGGTATGGAGAGACATAGCTCATTTTGTTTTATATTTGATGTATGTTTCACAGAGTCTCAAAAACTTAATCTTCACAGTGACTTTAGTGCTGGGCTTTTAAAATATTATTTTACAGAAGAAGAAACTAAGGCTTAAAAAGAGAATATGCTACTCTTCTAAAGTCATATATTAAATATTCAACCCAGGATTCAAAAGTAGATTTATCCATATCAGAAGCCCACGCTTCTTACGTTCATTCAGTTGCTTCTCAGATTTTCATAAAACACCTTGAGTTATTGCACCTTCACATTCTCCACGTGAGAATTCGGACCTAGTGGAAAAGCGGTTAGGGCAGCAGTCAGTGCACAGCACAGATGACAGTGTACAGAATTGCAGTGCAGGCATCAATCGCTCTGAAGTTCTGTGAGCTGGGAATGGGAGAAAAAACTGGACCAAAAATGCCACAAAATGTTTTCTAAGACTCATGGATACCAGCAGACACTAAAAAGATTAAGAATAATTAACAATTAGATTCCTGCCAAGTTCAATAATGTATCTTTTGTTCCAATCATGTCCCAAAAATAGAGCAATATACTGATATGTGCTCCTTATTAGTTACCACTTACTTTTCCAATTTGCTAGACATTAAATTTTGAAAAAATGCTGCTTCATGTGACTTGCTAAGTAGAACTTTTGGGGACTGTTCCTTTTATTTGAGTTTACAAGAACAAAAATCATGAAATTTTGATTATGGAAAATATGTAAATGTTTTTTGCCACCATAAGACTTTAGGACAGCTGAAATGAATTAATGTGAACATTCCAAGAAATCACCTTTTGGCTGAGACTAAATGGAAAAAGTCTCATTTGAAAAGACACGTGCAATGGAAATGAGTTATCAGTTTCAATATACAGCCTGCGTTTGATGATTATCATTTTTATTTTAACCAATTTAAAAGGACACACCTTCAGATTTTGAAAAGCCGTTTAGTCTTTTCAGTTGCCAATGTTTACTCAGTTTCAGAATTGTTCTCTTTGTGTCTGACATACAACTGGGGATGTTTCCTAAGCCTCTGTCTTTTCTTTCACAGGTGTCTTACCGACTTTTTGAAGACATGGGCCTCTTTGAAGCTTTTAAAATTCCAGTTAGGGAATTTATGAATTATTTTCATGCTTTGGAGATCGGATACAGGGATATTCCTTGTAAGTATATGAGATTTGTGAAATACTTTTAAAATATGTTGAATTTGCTGTGGGTAAATGGGACAGCGAATCATTAGCAGGTAGCACAGAATTACACGGGGAAAACACTCACTATGGAGACATTATATGATGATTAGGAAATATTGCCTGGCTCCTCTACTTTTTAGCTGAATGAGACCCTAGGTTTTACTTGACCTCTGGATGCCTCATTTCATAGTTCATAAAATGAGAGTTATAACACCTGCTTCATATGATTGTTAGGATCAAATAAGATTATATTTTTAAAGTGGTTATTGTAGTACCTAGCACACAGTAAATCCAACCTAAGTCCACTTTCATATGGCTACTTTTGGAAATAGATAATTAAATATTAAATTTATTGCTCATTTAATAACTCATCCCTTTTATTGGGCGAATTCAACTTTTGTTGTGGCATCTGAAGAGTTAAGTCACTATATATGTTTTCTCAACATAAGGTAAAGTGGGCTGGTGTTTAGAGGGTCAGGAGGATGACAGTCTGGTTAATAAAATAGAAAAGAGACATCTGGAAGTGGTTATGGAAAAAATGATGAGAAACATTTTTAAAAATCAGGTATATGGGAAGACAAAAGGCGAACACACAATCAAGTGTTCAAGCTTCGAGTCTTGTAAGAATACGTTTCCATTTACATTAACAAAAACTTGGAACACACAGAAGATGCTGAGTTTTCATTATGTAGCATTTCAGGTATCGTCGATCAGAACACCTAAGTAAAATGGTCCTACAGTGCTGCAAAATATACAGTGTCTGAAGGTCCAAACAGGGAAACTGTGGAGACATCAAAAAATCATGTAGCACATCAAGGAAATAAACATATGGAAAGAACATTAACCAAACATAATATATTGATTGGAGCATGTCTTGGAAACACGTTATTTAAATCATATTTAAGCTTTTAAGTTTAAATTTGCTTTTATGCACTTCGGACTTCAGAATCTCGTAAACTTTTATGTAATTGTAAAGAGCTGAAGTTAAATTAAAAAAATAAATTAATACTGATAAAGCACAAGTATTTCCAGAAAGGGGAATCACACTAACCTAGGGATTTATTATGAGCATGTTGTTTTCAAAATCCCATCCACATGCTACATTGGAACGAATATACACAGCTGATAGTGTGTCACAGAAGAAGAGAATGAAGAACTGAATTTACAAGTGAGATTTTCTGAAGAATACAGGACTAAAATACAGGCAGAGTAAGACGCTGGAGGAGGGGAAAGAGAGCTTCACAGTGTCAGGGCCCCTGGGACATCTGGCTGACAAATCCATGGAAGTTGGAAGAAAAATATGAAAAAAGGGGTAGCTGGAAAAGATCTCAAGATAAGCCTTGCGTTCCTAATACCGTTTTCCCAGGCCCAGCCTACTTGAAGGCCAGTGATTGACCTAAGTGTTCAGGATTTCTCGAAGGCTAAAGAATTCCATAAATAAGCCTTTGTAGAAAGGAAGCCACAGAGGACACTAAAGAACAGCTAGGCTGAATTTCCAAATTCATGTTATATTTTCAAATGTGTATTAGTGATATAATTAGCCATAGCAAAGCTGCAGAGTTCAAATTGATACTAACTTCCATGGACGTAATAACCACCAACTTATTCACAGGTAGTGTATCACTGAATCATAGTGGAAAGATGGCAAGTATTTAAGTACAAAAATAAGTTTTCAGATTCTAAGATTTATTTACTTTTATGTTTTGTTACATTTTTATATATGACAAGTAAATAGATATTTTTTTCTCTGAAATTGTGGGTTCTTTATTCCAGTGAAAATAATTTGTCATAATAAACTTGCTTATTCTATTAGAAGTCCTACATACTTTCCATAAAGGGAATTTATTTACATCTTTCCAGAGGAAAGCTCTAGTTTCATCTGTGATCACTTTTAATGAATATTTCATATGTGCTGAGATTAATTAATATGAATATTTATTAAAAGCTTCACTTATTAATTATAATTAGTACATATAAAAATTTGCTGTGTAACTACTTATTTTAATATTTACTTTGGATATATTTCTAACGGTTCTATCTAAATGAATCCAGAGTTGAAATGAAGCCTAAGAGGAACCGAAGTTAAAATGGGGTTGGATTAACTTTAATATGATAATGTATGCAAATATTAAAAACTAAATTTATTATTGTTCTAAGTGTACCTCTAACAGTTTTCAAGAGAAGAGGGCGCATAGGAAAGCTTTTAAATGTGTGATTAGAAGTCTGATAAAAATTGAAGAATCTACATTTAAGCAGAGAATTAAAGAAATTTCATGGTAGTAGCAATGGAAAGACAATAAATATAGGCAGCTCAATAATGTAAATGTGATGAAAATATATCAAATATATCGTAAGTTTCAATCAAACGTGATAAATTAATGTATGGTCAGTACTCAATTGGACAGGGAGGTAAATAATGTTTGGTGTCATTCATAGTCCTTTCCAGTTGGGCATTTTGCTTAATAAAGAAAAATCCATCCATATTCATTTATTGATGCTGTTATTTTTTAGGGTATTTTTTTTTAATTTTCAAAGAGTTTCAGCTCTAAAGTATAATCCCCCTGACACCTCTCATCCTTATTTAAGTTTGAGAAATGGGGAGAATGCCTCAGGACTACCTGTGAGAACGTCACTCATTTCATGACAGCAAGGAGACTAGTCCCGCTCAAGCTGTATTTAGTCCAGTTCAGTTAAGCTGCACATGATGTTCCCGCTGATTTTAAAGCTGGAAACTGAAGTGACATGGTACAAGCTACAGGGGCAGAACTACCAGAGTATCAACTATATTCCAAAAGAAAAAACATACTTAAAGTGTTAGCTCTATTCTTTACTACTTCCCCTCACCCTACGGTGCATAGTATACACATAATTTTAAATCAAAACTATGTAAATTTGGATCTTAAAATCTGTGAATTTACATGCAACTCCAACCCTCCATACCAGCTCCCTTCAACTCTGTGCTTGAGGGAAAAGGAGAAAGTTGAGAAAACAAGTGTATCAAGACGGAAGAGGGAGATGGGCGGACTCTGGGAAAGAGGTAGGGTGTACCACGTGCTAGTGTATGCGTGTGCGTCTATGTGTCATTCAGGAGGGCGATGGGGTTGACGCGTGAGTGAGGGCGTCACCGAGGGGACTGGGGATTTGTCCAAAATGCGGAGGTGAAGAAAGAGGTATGATGATGATAAGGAGAAAATGATGATAGGTCTGATAGCGTTCCTTGTCCTTCTCAGTTGCTTAAAGAGGAATCTGTAGGCATTTTTATGTACCGCACAGAAAGCTGCCAGTAACTCACATTGACCCTGCTGGCTTCCTTCCTGGGTGTCCTTGCTCCTGGGTTGAGTTACCAGAGAGCTAATGGCAAGAACGGTGGAGATGCCAGCACTTGGCATAATACCAAATACATGCTAACTGAATATCTGATGAATAAACATGTTACTGGCTGCTAACAGGACAGATAGTTTTCCATTCTTCAGTCTAAGTGACGGATGACAGTGTTATTCTCCTAGACATACAGACATGTAACTAGATGTATATATTTAAGCAGCTAGATTTGGTTAGTGATTTTTTAACTTAGTACTTTTAAATCTATACTCAAAGCAAAAGGAACATTTTAAAATACATATACTGTCTTTACCCCGCTTTTAAATCAAGATCGTACCAGCCTCGTTGCAGCTTTTCATCTTGTATTTTCAGCACTAGACTATTTACTTAGGATTGCTTGCTTGTTGAGTTTGTAAAACAAAAACAAAAAAACGAAAAATAATCCCTATAAAATTTTCTGGGCCTAGGCCTTGGGGTGGGGTCAGGGCAGTGGTGATGAGAGCTCAGGAGCTGCAAGTTCACCTGGAATAGATGTTATCATTTCCTTACCCCAAACAGGCTCTGGAAACACTGATACTGCCCCAGCATCCACCTCTGCAATGCTGTGCTCATGCACAGGTTTCCTTGACTTTCAGTAATAATAGTAACTACTGGCATAGAGTAATCTTCCCAGCTTGCAACAGGAGAAGGTAATTTAACTCAAAAGCTGGCTTCCAACTTACCTCCCAAAAGTGGAACCCTATTTCCAGACTGCCATTTTCCTGCCATACCAGGTCTCACATCTGTCTTCTGCCTCCTGATAGGTGTAGAAGAGATTTTATTTTATTCTTACAAATCCAGCAGTGATTCTTGGAGAAAGCTGGTGATCTATACTTGTTTTATCTTGTTCTACAGTAAGAGTTTATTTTACATGAATAATATTTACACAAATTGCAAGCTCACTTTGTATCAGGCCCTTTAAAATATATTTCCTTCTGTAATTGTCACAATTGTACTATAAAGTTGACAGTGTTATTCTCATATTTTTAAGATGAAGAAATGAGGCTTTCTACTGTATCTTATTTTTAAGACAAAGAAATGAATTTTAAGTAACTCAATCAAGTTTGCATGGATAATAAATATAGCAGAAGTGAAAACATACCTGTCCCAAATCCAGAAAATTCCAGTATGAAAATTTCATAAATAGCCCAAGTACAGACATAAAATATGATTGCAATTGCGTTGCCTGTGAATTATTTGTAAATGGTAAAGGTCTTATATCACTGGACATGGTCTGGACTCAGGGATATAGATGCCAGTCTTAATAAAATTGCTCTTTGACATACCATACAATATTAGTATTCATGTTTACAACAGACACAGGTATCCAAGTTTTGCTCTTTTCTCCTCAGGAAGCTAGGAGTTGAGTTCCTTTCTTTCATTTTTTAATTTATTATTATTATTATTTTGAGACAGAGTCTCTGTTGCCCAGGCTGGAGTGCAGTGGTGCCATCTCAGCTTACTGTAACCTCCACCTCCCGGGTTCACGTGATTCTCATGCCTCAGCCTCCCAAGTAGCTGGGACTACAAGTACCTGCCACCACACCAGGCTAATTTTAGTATTTTTAGTAGAGACAGAGTTTCACCATGTTGGCCAGGCTGGTCTGGAACACCTGACTTCAAATGATCAACCCACTTTGGCATCCCAAAGTGCTGGAATTATAGGCATGAACCACTGAGTCTGGCCAGAGTTGAGTTTCTTTAAGCCTTTCTGAGGAGATCTTTTCAAACCTATATATCCAGGCCTCTCCGCTGAATCTCCAGGGTGTTTACCTAAGATTTAGCTGCATATTCTCACCTAAAGGCTGATTCCTAACAGCTGCCAGAAATTTAGCACCCACCTAAGTGCTGTAATTGCTACATTGACCGTAGGTTCCCTCTTCCTTCCTTTACTAGGGTCTAGGTGTTTCTTTCATATTCTTATTGTCACTCTTGTTCTCTCCTGTTTCTCTCTTGTTCTTGTGTTAAGTATTATACAGAAATGTAATCTGTTACACTAGAGAGGGAAACAGTATCCTGGGTGGTTAGCAGAAATGTAATATGTAAAGTTAGTATATTTAGAATAAAGCACACTAAGCAGTGCAGCATAATGAGAGGTCTGATAAGCTTCTAGAAGGCTTGGAAGAACGGCACAGAAGGCAGCAAGGGCACAACGGGCACGTGGTTATGGTTTGAAAGAAGTCGAACTGCACGTGTGGAGTATGACCCCCTTCCCATAATGATGGCAATATGATTAGCGAATCTGGTTTTCTCATAGGTTTTAACTTCTAAATGGCTTAGCTTTCAACATTACTATACAAAGAGATTTTTCTTTTTAGGTATTTCTTAGAACTATATTCTCAAATGAGAATTTCTAGATAATTAGAGAATATAATTGTGGCTTTGCATTTTGCTTGTGGATATAATCTACATATAAAAGATACTTTATTGCAGTGCTTCGAGATTGATACAGAAAAATGGTGTGATGTTCTATTCTCAGGTTACATTTGAGTACCGTTTATCAGAGACGGAGTATGTCTGACCTAGTTGAAGTGTGTCATAGCTGTTATTTTATCTGGTTCTCTGCAGTTCTAGGCAGGAACATGAAAAAGTACAAGAGTGAACATTACAGTTGTTTCACAGTGAGTTTCCTATATACGTAGTTTGTGGCCCACTATTGACACAGATTTTTCTACTTCAGGTATCTGCATGCATAATAAATGTTACAAGGGGGTTTTTCTTTCTTGTTACTATGGATATTATAGAGTTATAGAAGAGGAATCAAAGAATATTTGTCCTAGAAAGTTTGGCTTTCATGGAAATAGTGAAATGTTAGGACTGAACTGTGTGTCCAGTAGGTGGCACTCTTAGTTCTTACGACCCCAGAGTTGGTAAATTGACGACTTGTGTTCACTGATTACAGATCACAACAGAGTCCATGCCACTGACGTTTTACATGCTGTTTGGTATCTTACTACTCAGCCTATTCCAGGCCTCTCAACTGTGATTAATGATCATGGTTCAGCCAGTGATTCAGGTATGTACGAAGTGAATCTGCACTCCCTTGTGAGACATGGGAACGAGGGTGTTTGTTTTCAAAAAAAAAAGTAAGTGAAGACAAATGATGTCAGTTTAATACCTTTAAAAAAGATTTCTGTGACTCTCATTTTCTCTTCTCAGATTCTGACAGTGGATTTACACACGGACATATGGGATATGTATTCTCAAAAACGTATAATGTGACAGATGATAAGTACGGATGCCTGTCTGGGAATATCCCTGCCTTAGAGTTGATGGCACTGTATGTGGCTGCAGCCATGCATGATTATGATCACCCAGGAAGGACTAATGCTTTCCTGGTTGCAACTAGTGCTCCTCAGGTAAATCTTTAGATTTTGGGTTAGGAGAAATAATTTAAACATTTCTCAAGAAGCAAAGTGTGATTTATAATAGGCATCAAGTTAATATAACTATATATAGTCTTACCTGAAAATTCTCAGAGACCATGCTAAAACCATGAATTCTTCATTCTGAAAAGAAACCATAGATTCTTCCAAGATACTAATGGCAGCTATACAACTTAATTACCCATGGAAACCATTTCTCAGTTGTCTTCTTAGGAAGAAAATCTATTTGAATTCATGTTAATGGACCCCTTCAACAAACAAAAGGCAACCTATACAAAAGCCCCTTTCTGAAAAGATTAGAGAACCCAGTATTTCTTGGACTTCTAAGAATGTAAGGGTTCTTTGTATATAAAGATCATTCCTTTGAAATATATTCATTATAACAATTATGATTCTTGTGGCATATCTATAGGATGGTAGAATTTTAACATCAATTTGTTTCATTGGAGGAAATTTTTTTGCCTAAACATAGATTCTAAAAGCAGTGAATAAATTTAAATTTCATCTTGGTGTATAATTCAATCTATGTGAAAAATTCATCACTAAGTTTCTAGACATGCCCATTTATACAATCAAATATAGCCCCTTATTTATTTAATTGGCTGAACCCAAGTTACTAAACATTCTGAGATCCTCTGCTCTTCTACAAGATCCAGAGGCCAATTTCATTCTATATTACTTTCCTGTTTTCCTCTTTGCCTCTTCCGTCCCACTGGTATCCCGTTCCACAGCTGATCTTAAAGTCTGTTCTGTAGGTTTCCTTGGATCTATATACAGTAAAAATTATCTGATCATTTTTTCTTGATTATCTACCTTTTTTCCACTTGTCTTTCATACACCAGAATTATTTTTTTTAAAGATAGGCAAAAATCCACTGGCCAGGACAATCTGCCATTCAGATTTTTCTACATGTCTACATTTTTATAAACCTCAGTATCACTTTTCAGTGCTTCGTGTTTTCTTTTTGTCCTTATGCCTTTTATTTTCTCCATAGGCTCTCTTGCAAAGTACTGTTTAGGCATTTTGTAGGCAGTTTCTTTTTTTAAAAAACATTCTCTAATAAAACTTCTCTCTGCATTATTAGAGAATTTCAAACAAGTAAACGTCATTTTATATCCTTAAATACTAGATAAAATGTGATATTTCCTGTGGAGTGGAGTGGGAATGTTTTGAATCATGGGCACGTTGGGGATTCCATTTATTTTTAATAGCTATATGTGTTTAAGAGGAGGTAATGCGTATGCCAGATACAGGAAGTAACCTAATTACGTCTTGAGGTATTGGTATAATTATATTTACATATAACGTAAATGTAATTTTTTTGTCTTCCTCCCTCCTGTTTCTTTTCTATTTGTATATCTTTTCGATGTTTAAATTCCTGTACCCTACAAGGAAATGTAAAGAAAATTTTTTAAAGTATGTGTTAAGATAGGCTAGTGCCCCCTCACAAGAGTTTCTGTTAACGTTTCAAGGAAAGGAATTTATCTTACAAAAAAGGGAAATTTAATCAAGAAAAATAATAGCATCATTATATAGTAATAATTGATTCTTAATGTCACATGAATACATTTCTTTTTTGTATGAATAAAAAGCAATTTCAGAAGCACTGCATACTCTCATAAGTTTTGTGATTATTTTCTTAAAAAGTTGAACTCTTAACTCTCTTATTGCCTAGGCGGTGCTGTATAACGATCGCTCCGTTTTGGAGAATCATCACGCAGCTGCTGCATGGAATCTTTTCATGTCCCGGCCAGAGTATAACTTCTTAGTTAACCTTGACCATGTGGAATTTAAGCATTTCCGTTTCCTCGTCATTGAAGCAATTTTGGCCACTGACCTGAAGAAACACTTTGACTTTGTGGCCAAATTTAACAGCAAGGTCAGTAGAGTTGTCGCAGTCTTCATTTTACAGACACACCAAAAGACATCATGGAAGCAAACTGTTGAACCAAGCGTGTTACTGTCAACTCTCACATGTCAAATGTGAAAATGGAATTTAATAAAATGTGCAACCAGAGCGCACATATACACACTGATCTGATTCTAGATGCCCAGGAGGTCAAGATCCTGTCTTTATAGATCATGCTTTGTGCTACAGAGAAATAACACGTTCTGTCATTGTGGTTTTGGTTTCTTTAATTTTTTCTCATCTCTGTGGCATATTTATATAAATTATCTGGCCGCAGTACAGATCAAAAGTTGAAGCAAAATTTTATACATCAAAAGTAAATGCCCAGATATTAAGTTATGAAAACTTTTATGATTCGTAACTATATTATTTTAATAGTAATCGGTAATAAGGCCCAGTGCAGTGGCTCAGGCCTATAATCCCAACCCTCTGGGAGGCTGAGCCAGGTGGAACACTTGAGGCCAGAAGTTCGAGACCAATCTGGCTAACATGGCAAAACCGCATCTCTACTGAAAATACAAAAATTAGCCAGGTGTGGTGGCACACACCAGTAGTCCAACCTACTTGGGGAGCTGAGGCAGGAAGATTGTTTGAACTCAGGAAATACAAGTTGCAGTGGGCCAAGACTGCACCAGGGCACTCCAGCTTGAGAGACAAAGTGAGACTCTATCTCAAAAAAATAAAAACCAAAAGTAATTGATTATATATGCCAATTTTAAAAAGCATTTGTTGCTAATACAATAATTAATGATTTTTTAAATTTTTATTTTTGTAGGTATATAGTGTTTCTATTTATGGGTTACATTAATAAATTCATGTAATGCACAATAACAGTGTGGTATCTGTCACCTCAAACATTTATTCATTGTGTTAGAAACAATCCATTTATGTTCTTTTAGTTCTTTTTAAATGTATGATTAAATTATTTTTGTCTATACTCACCCTGTCACCCATAATTATTGCTTTATCTATAATTTATTATTTTACTTTTCTGATGAACTATTGTTACCATTAATTTACGTAGGCCAATAACATTTTAAAATAGCTAGGAGTTCCCAATTATTTGGTATTATGATCCCTGTGTAATATGTAGACAATAAATGTTCTTTTGTTTTCTCTTCTGCTCCACTTTTATTTTTATTGAAGCAAAACATGTTTTACCTTTGTCTCAACCAGGTGAATGATGACGTTGGAATAGACTGGACCAATGAAAACGATCGTCTGCTGGTGTGTCAGATGTGTATAAAGTTGGCTGATATCAATGGTCCAGCTAAATGTAAAGAGCTTCATCTTCAGTGGACAGATGGTATCGTCAATGAATTTTATGAGCAGGTAATTGACAGCTGTTTAATATGTCTCAGTCTATACTTACAGGTTGCTCATGAATTGCTCAAAGCTTCTAATGGCTGTGAAAGGATGATCTCTCTATTTTATATTCATACTTTGATCAGAAAATGCATTGGTCAGTTTTGATCAGGAGATAAAAAGTGATGTGTAAAAATTTGACTAAAATATAATCTAACCTTCTATGATAAAGTCATCTGCAAGCATTTGGGGGGAAGAAAATATTGAGAAAGTTGTCAGAGGTTAGGAAGATCCTTGAAATACTGTTCTTTTATAGATTTATTTGTTATCACAGAGGTAATTTAAATGTATATGGAGTAGCTTTTATGTATATGGTAGTTTAAATGTATATGCATTTTAAGTTCACTTACCTTCCTAAAAAAATTAATTTATTATCATGGAAGGTAGTTTAAATATATATGGAATAGTTTATATGTATATGGTACTTTAAATATATACGCATATCAGATTAAGTTCGCTTTTGTAAGAAAAATTAATAACAATAGTGTATGAAAAAGCTAAAAAGAAATAGGCATTTCATCTGACATGATAATGTGAGAGTCAGCAGACTATTAAAAAAGCTACCGCAATTACACAAGCCAGGAGTGATCCTCCTGACATGACCCTACACCAGTCAGATCGCACCTGAACCTTCCTGTTTGGTACCGTGAACCACTCTTAAAAAGAATGTCTACACACTGGGATCTATTGGGGGGAATAGGGGAGGGACAGCAGGGCGGGGAGCTGGGGAGGGATAACATGGGGAGAAATGCCCAATGTGGGTGAAGGGGAGGAAGGCAGCAAAACACACTGCCACGTGTGTACCTATGCAACTATCTTGCATGTTCTGCACATGTACCCCAAAACCTAAAATGCAATTAAAAAAAAAAAAAGAATGTGGAGGTGAAGAGGCATGCATGAAGGACAGAAATAAGTGACAGAAAAGCACGTGAAGAAATGAAGATATTTTCTCTGGGGGAAATATAACTGTCTTTTATACTTAAAGGAGTAACATACTAATTTAGGAAGAAGTTAATCATAACATTGCTGTGGAGATTAAAGAAGATAAATTATGTAACATACTTAGCACAGGATCTGATTCATTAAAAAAACTTAGATCCCTCCCTACTGCCCTAAAAAAGGTGTGACTACAACCAGTCTATGGAAGTTATTGGGAAGCAGAGTTCAGGTCAATGTCAGAAAGAAACTTGTATTGTTAAACATGTCCAAAAATGGCTGAGACATCTTAATAATAGTAAGAAATTGTCTGTCACTGGACATATTTAAACAGAGATTAGAATGAACTTTTATGATTATTATAAGTAGAATTCATATGCAGAATGAAGGTTTGTGCTTTTAAAAAATAATGTATGCCTTTCTTAAGAAACAGATTTATTAATAATCATTCCCAAAATATGGAAATGCAGAAAAATGTAAAGTAATGGGAAATTCATGTATTGTAATACCACTTCTTAGGCATAATTGTTGCTGATATTTTGGGATATTTCCTTTATTAATTTTGCTAGGTTAACACTGGTTAAAAATCTCCTTTTTTTACCCCTCAAAAAGATTTGAAGCACTTCAAAATAAAATACTTATACAGTAATATTATTAAATTTATAGATAAATAAGAATATCAGAAACCATACAATCACAGAAGATACATTAATAATTCAAACCAAATCTGGGATAAGGTAACCCCTTGAATTGAGCAATAAATTCTTTTAAGCTTTCTGGCAGCCAAGGCAAAAAAAAATGAATATAGGCTACATTTATATATTTTTAAATAATTATTCTCACCATTGCTTTTTTTTTTTTTTGATGGAGTCTTACTCTGTCACCCAGCTGGAGTGCAGTGACATAGTCTTGGCTCACTGTAACCTCCACCTCTTGGGTTCAAGCAATTCTCCTGCCTCAGCCTTCTGAGTAGCTGGGATTACAGGTATCTGCCACTACGCCCAGCTAATTTTTTGTATTTTTAGTAGAGATGGGGTTTCACCATATTGGCCAGACAGGTCTCGAACTCCTGACCTCATAACTTGCCCACTTCTGCCTCCCAAAGTGCTGGGATTACAGGCATGAGCCACCGTGCCTGGCCTCACCATTACGTTTTAATGCATTTATATTTTCATATAAAAGACACTGACTTGTGTGATAAAAATATTATCTACTGATACATTAGACTTTAGATTTTCTGTATTTCTCCTTGATAAAAAGCAAAAACCTCAAGATCACAAAAGTATTAATTAGCAGCAAAGTCCTTCTATAGGAATCCTAGCGACTGAGGTAGGATCTTTTAGCTGTCAAGTAAAGAAATGTGTGCATTAATGTCTGGGGTTTTGCTTATTTACAAACTTCAGATGCCAAGGGAATGTTGACTTGACTTGTGTTGTATTTCTAGGGTGATGAAGAGGCCAGCCTTGGGTTACCCATAAGCCCCTTCATGGATCGTTCTGCTCCTCAGCTGGCCAATCTTCAGGAATCCTTCATCTCTCACATTGTGGGGCCTCTGTGCAACTCCTACGATTCAGCAGGACTAATGCCAGGAAAATGGGTGGAAGACAGCGATGAGTCAGGAGATACTGATGACCCAGAAGAAGAGGAAGAAGAAGCAACAGCACCACATGAAGAGGAAACCTGTGAAAATAATGAATCTCCAGGTAAGTTCCAAGATCTAGTTCTAATGTGTTTTCCCTGGATTACTTTCTTACTTTAGATGAATTTTATGCTTCTTATGAAATATAGTACTTCAAGTCTATATATCATTTGCCAAGTTTGATTATGGATAGCTACCTTACCCAGTATCATAATACTAGAAATTCCAGACTATGGAATCTATAATAATAATATATATCATACAAAGATATCTTCTCCACCATGAAGTTAAAAAAAAAAAAGAGTTGATGTCTATTCTTCAGGGTATTTAGTGATTTAAAAGTGAAAGGAATTTCGGTTACTATAAAGACCAATCATAGGTTTTTATTGGCTTGGTTAGGGGAACTCCATGTGAATACGAGATAGTATTCATTTGTTCATTCAACAGACATTGATTGAGAACCTGCTCTGTGCCAGGCATCATTCTAGGTACTAGAGGTAGAGCTGTGGGGAAAAAAAAAGACAAAAAATAAAATCGTCACCCTTATAGAAGTATATTCTAGTGGGATCAGTAGACACTAAGCAAAACAAAACAAGTCAGTATGTCTATAGTATGTTAGATACAGTAATATTTACTGTAGTGATAAATACTGATAAATATGAGAGTAAAAATAAAAGGAAGGAGATGTGAAATATTATAGAGATAGGTTAAAATTTTAGGTAAGATAACCAGGGATAGGAAAGATGTAAACAAGGGAAAATTTTTTTAAAATGGAAAGAAAAGAGCTGCAAGAAGTAAGGGGATGCTCCCTGGGGCTACATGTGTGAAGAGGATTCCGAGGAGAGGAGAAAGCGACCTGTGAAAAGGTCCTGAGGTGTGCACTGGGTGGGTGTTCAGGGAGCAGAAGAACTGAGATGCTGGAGCAGCAAGACAGAGGCAGTGGGGAGCCAACGTGTCCAAGGAAGAGAATGCAGTCATGGGTCCTCAGTTTCTGTTTCTGGTTGGGCCAATAAAGCCCCTTCCTCATTCCTCTTTTCTGCTTGTCACTAGAGACAGAAACTAAAAATCATAGCTTCAGATGCTAAAAGCCTAAAACAAAACACAGCGAAACAACAGCAACAACAAATAAGTCAGCCTGTGCAAGCTTGGAAGGTAGGACTCTACAGGTCACAGTAAGAGTCTTGGCTTTTACTGAGTAAGATGGGAAGTTGTCACCGGTCTCGAACAGAAGAGTTAGTAGACTCAACTTATGTTTTAACTGGACTGCTTCGGCTGCTCTATTGAGAAGATGCTGTGGTTGGGAAGGGAGCAAGAGTAGACACAGGGGGAGCAGTCAGGGGACTGTTGAAATTATCCAAGTGAGAGATGACTGTGACTTTGGACTAGGGCGGTAGCAACAGTGACAATGAGAACCCGTCACATCTGGTAATTGGCTGGAGTGCGTCATGTGGCCGATCTAACCTATTTAGCTTAATCGACTATAAAATCATTTTTCTTTAAGCCTCTAAATCGACTTTCCTGTTTATCCTGTCATGAAACAAGTAGTGACTAATAGCATAATTAGTAAAAATCCATGACCCGTCGAATGACACTGCACAAATACTATTCCTGTGGTTCCTAAGAACACAGTATGTGATTTCTGTCTACCTTTACAGATAAAGTACAGTCTTAATATTCCCAAAGCCCTTACCAAAACTATTCTGATCATTTTGTGCTTATTTTTATAACAATCAGGAAAATGCACAACTTGGTTCATTCCAACTATCTTGTAAGGAGATTAACCTTGTACTGATCCGTGTTGCCCTCATATAAGTACCCTGTTGTAGGCACACATAAGCAAACATAAAGAAGTCATTATCAATTATGAACTGATGAGGTAGATTTTTGCAAATTGAGCTTCAGGTCAGATCTGGCCAATCTTAATTTTTTTACAGAGTTGGAGAAATAAATACTGTTTTTCTTCAATTTTCTACTGTCAAAGTAATTATATTTTATTTATCTGATTCAAATCAAAAGGCTTCCATTAGAAAGTTTGTATTGATCTTGGGATCCAGAGCCAGAAGACAAAACTTGGAATTCATGAGTTATTTATTCATTTTTTTTTCATTTAATAAACGTGTATTCGTTTTCTCTTTTTATTTGTTTTCATTTCAAAGAGCCAGGTAGTTTACTGTCTTACTAAGAATGAGACAGTTTTCCACTGAATGAAGGTATTGTCAGCTTAGCCTCTGGAAAAGCTTTGTTCCCAGGGGCCCTGACTTACTGCGGTTTGAACTCAAACCCATGGAAAATACAGACATGCAGATTCAGGCACTGGGAATTGAAGGACCCAGGCCAGGAGATTTAACAGGCTCAGCTTGTCAACCTAACCTTTAGCAGCAAACTTTATAGCCACAGATTCCATTTCTTTCTGTTCTCTAGTGTTGAGTTGTCATCCCTTCCCATTTTTGTCAAGTTCCCTAAAGCAGGACTGAGAGTTTTCTGGATTGTTTGATAGTACCTTCCAAAAGTTAACTGACCATATTTTCTTAAAATGGAAAAATATCCCATTCGCAATGATTTGATACTGTAGCTTTGGAAATCTTATCTTTAAAGTATTCCTTTACAGCCAAGAAAATGATAAATACAGGGAAGCATCAGTATTTACTAAATATTGGTCACATAGAGTAATGGAAGTTCAGAAATGAAGGGGGAATCGATCCTTAAGAGTTTAGCTGCCTCACTTTACAAAAGATTAGACTGAGGCTCAGAAATTTAAATAACATCCCAAGGTTGTAGAACCAGAAAGTAAAACCAGGTTTCTTAATGTTTAACTTCAGTGCTTTTGGCTCTCAGTAATTTTAATTTCAGAGTTCATATTGGCTAAGATGGTTACCTTGACTTCGCCTAATACTTAGGTTCCAGAAAAAAATAAATAAGCACAGATAACTTCTGTAGTTTGTAAAACTTGGAGATGTCCCAGGAAACACAGAATAAAATGTTTCAATATGGTATCCCAGGAGAAGAAGGTTTTTACCCCACCTCGTAATTAAATCTGAAAGATTCCTACAGCGAACTAAGAGGTTTCTAATGAAGTGCTAAGCTGCATTTAGAATTGGAGCAATGAAAGGCTCTTTGTTCTGCTTTCAAAAGGTTCCAGTATTGAACAATTTGGCTCTCAATACAGGCATGTTTTAGACCACCTGCAGACTCTAATCTACGCAAATTTATTTGGTACAAACCTTCTTCTACGTCACCTTCTTATTCAGTATAATTCCAGAGAGGTTTATTGCTAACGTTTAACAGTATTAATAAGAGAACAGCTGCTCTCATAGGGACTGTCCTGAAGGGAACAAAGAGGAAAATTGAGCTTTTGTTAGCTGCTTCCCTATGAATGTGCTGCCATCAATGTGTAACTTTAAGGAATCACCTTGAATGGAAGAGTCTTTGCTACAACTGTGATTCAGCCTGTCCATCAGCCAGGCTCCTCTGTAACTCCTGATTCAAAGGTTTCGGTTAAAAAGTATATTAGTAGTAAAAAATTTCTCAACAGGATTTGATTTGTACTTAACTGTAACAAAAACAAAGTCGAAAGAGACAAGTAGAGGTAGAAGAGTAATTTTTAAGTTGCTTTTACAAAATCTGATGTATTTTATTGACTTTCATAGAAAGAATTCAAATTTATTTCAATTTCAGTTATATCTATTGCCCTTGTTAGGAAGCTTTCAAATAAGGAATTGATATGAGGGGTCATGACCTGTGCTTCATAAACTTCGACCCATGTCCTGTTCTTCAAACTTGGCTTGAAATACTTCTGGCCCCTTTTCACCCAGTGTATTTAATTCTCATTACTTAGATCCAGTCCAGGTACCAAGACTTTAGGAAAAAAATTCGACCTAATTTTCTACAGTGTGAGTCTTTAGTGTTGCCATGGATTGATGTATCAAAGAGATTGCACCAGACATTTGTTAAAAATGACAATGAAGGTTTTATTGAAGACTATTATAGAGGAGACAGATGATGGGAGAGGAGGTCCATGCTGCTGTGAGCTAGTGAAAAAGTGCTGGAGGACATTACGGGAGCATTGACTAGTGTGATTAAGCCACCTGTTAATTGGTACTTACTAAAGCTGGGCTCCTACCTTCCCACAGAGACTAGGAGATAGGCCTGCCTTTCTTCTTTCCTTCCATCCTTTCTTCCTTCATTTAAATCTTCTTTTTTTTTTTTAATTTTAAAACTAAAATTTTATTTTGTGAGACTGTAAAGCTAGTTAGAGGCTGGGAGAAGATTTACCTATATTCCACAGGGGCAGAGAAAGAATTTGCTGTTACAGGTTTTCTAAAGCAAATGCTCTCCCAAGAGGGAGGTCAGAGTCCTACAGTCTAGAAGTTTAAAAGTGAGTCAAACCGAGAGGAATAGCAGGCCCATCGTGGTCACAAGAATATGTCTGGCATAAAACAGCAAATGTATTTCAGTTTTTATCTTCTTGGCTCTCTCTTAGAGAGAGTATGAGCTCCTTTAAGGCAAGCTCTGAGCCCATGATCTTTGTTTCCAAAGCATCCTGTAAAGTATTTGCCAGTTAGTTTGAGTCCATCTCTTGAAGAAATGATGAATAACCATAAATATGTATTTTTTTATTTTTTGCTTTTGACTCTGCCTGTGTTCATTTCCCTCAGCACTCATTCAATTTAATAATTGTTGTTCTGTGTCTATATGGTTCAAAATTAATTCAAGATGATTTAATATCCTTTTTCTTCTCTATATTTTAAAAATTTGTTGTTCTGTAAAGTGTAAGAAATTTCTGTAGCGTATTGTAATAAAACTGTTAAATGAATGACCAGCACTTCCACAAAGATGTTGGTAGATGTCCTCAAAGTTCCCTTGTCACCTCCCATATCAATGGGCTTTTTTGTTTCATTATTGTGCTAATCAAGTTTTTCTTTTTTCTTTCCTCCTATTTACTGTTAAGTCATATCTACTTCATTAAGTAGACCCAGATATCCCTTCTGATCTCCTTGCGAACTTGCACTTAAAAAAAATGTGTATTCACTTTTGTAGACACAGCAGTCTCACTTTATTCATTTC